TCAAGTGACCCACCCACCCCCGCCCCCAGCCTCCCAAAGTGCTGGGGTTACAGGCATGAGCCACTGCACCTGGCCTCTCTAGATGAGTTTTTGAATTTCATGGCTGAGCAATGGCTCAATGAGAGGAGGATTTTTGATGAAACTGATATATTGTCTTCATATATATATGTATACACACATACATATATATACACACACATATATACACATATATATATATTTTTGTTTGTTTGTTTGTTTGTTTTGTTTTGAGATGGAGTGTGGCTCTGTCGCCCAGGCTGGAGTGCAATGTCTCAATCTTGGCGCACTGCAACCTCTACCTCCTGAGTTGAAGTGATTCTCCTGCCTCAGCCTCCCAAGTAGCAGGATTACAGGTGTACGCCACCACACCCAGCTAACTTTTATATTTTCAGTAGAGATGGGGTTTCACTATGTTGGCCAGGCTGGTCTCGAACTCCCGACCTCAAGTGATCCGTCCTCCTCAGCCTCCCAAAGTGCTGGGATTACAGGCACACCCAGCCGGTACGTTTTAAGTTTTAAGCCAGAGGCTTTTATTTATTTTAATTAATTAATTAATTAATGTATTTATTTTTTGAGACGGAGTCTTGCTCTGTCGCCCAGGCTGGAGTGCAGTGGTGTGATCTCAGCTCACTGCAAGCTCCGCCTCCCAAGTTCATGCAATTCTCCTGCCTCAGCCTCCCAAGTAGCTGGGACTACAGGCGCCTGCCACCATGCCTGGCTAATTTTTTGTATTTTTAGTAGAGACGGGGTTTCACCATGTTAGCCAGGATGGTCTTGATCTCCTGCCCTCGAGTTCCACCCGCGTCGGCCTTCCAAAGTGCTGGGATTACGGAAGTGAGCCACCGCTCCCGGCCAAGCCAAAGGCTTTAAACACATCTCAGGATCCCTGAAAGGTGAAAGTGGGGATTGTAAGATTCATGGAATTTGGTCAGAGAGTAGTTTAACCTCTGCCGCCTCCAACCAGATAGCTCCTCTTTTTTCTTTTTTTTTTTTTTTTTGAGACAGAGTCTCGCTCTGTCACCCAGGCTGGAGTGTAGTGGCGCGATCTTGGCTCACTGCAACCTCCACCTCCCGAGTTCAAGTGATTCTCCTGCCTCAGCCTCCTGAGTAGCTGGGGTATTACAGGTGCACGCCACCACGCCTGGCTAATTTCTGTATTTTTAGTAGAGACGGGATTTCAGTGTTGTCTAGGATGATTGATCTCCTGACCCTGTGATCCACAGGCCTCGGCCTCCCAAAATGCTGGGATTACAGAAGTGAGCCACCGCACCTGGCTGATGGCTCCTCTTTTATCTGTTTTGACCTGGGATTTCTCATAACATTTTGTTTGAAGAAAGGGCTCCCTTGCTTAAAACAAAAACTTTGAAAACCACCACTTTGAGGGAAAAGTTTCAGAAAGAAACCCTCTTGCCTTCCAACTATTATTATACCCCAATTAAATATAGTCTCTCTCAGATTCCAGGAAAGTAACAGTCACAAAATAGCTTACTCCTCTGCCTTTCAACAATTCCCTTTACTGTTCAAAATATGAGTGCTGCTCATTTATTACTCTTCCACTTACAATTTTTTTAGAAACAGTATCTTCCCATGTTGCCCAGTCTTGAACTCGTAGACTCAAGGCATCTTCCTGCCTTGGCTTCTTGAATAGCTGGATTACAGATGTATACCACCATGTCTGGACCACTTATTTAGAGCCATTTAAGGAATTACCTGTTTCTAATGAGAAAAAATTATCAAACATCTGTGTTGATACTTGAAAAAAAGTAATGGCAACCCCTATTTGATTAAAAGATAACATTGGCTTAGTTTATAACATTTGGTTAAGAAATAGTTGTAAATATGAGTGATTTCTTTATAATATCTTAGAAATCAAGAATGTTTTAAAGAAGAAAAGAATGACACCTTTGAGAGTAGGGATCTGGATTATTAATACCACTATTATTTTTAAACTGATGCTCTTTATTTGGTAATATGGGAAATTAGGGAACAAAGGACATTTAGTCCAACTTTCCTTCTGCTGCTTGGATGTGTAGTCTCTATTTGAATAATTCCAATGAGGAGGATTTTACCATCCTTCAAAATCGGGGTATTCTCTCTTGGGACTGCTCTCTTTCCTAAAAATGTCTCTCCATTTACTGACTAGATGTATTGTCTCATAGGGACCTGGTTTTGCTTTATAATTTTTGAAGCACTCTCTTCTCTTCCATTCAGCTAGTGTGCCAGTAAATTAAAAATAGCTCTAATTTGTGGTGGAGAATAAATGAAATCACTTACCCATTTTATTCATTTTCATTTGGATTAGACTTCAGAAACACAAACTTTAGCAGTAAACTTTTTATTTTACAAATTTTAGGTATAAAATTTATTTAAATATATTTGTATGATCCTAATTCATGTTTTCTTGATGATTTAGTTATTGTGAATTTCAGATACTGTTCTCTATGGTGATGCCTCCTGCAGGTCCTGTTGAGTTTTGTAGGACTATTTTCCTGTTCGTTCTAGTGAATTTAATAAACATTGAGTGATTACCTCCCTGAATTCAGGCTTCTTGTATGCACTTGGGAATGCAACATTAATGAGATGTCAGCCAAAATAGCTCAGCTAGGAGAGCATTAGGTTGAAGATACAAAGTTTCTTGGCTCAATCCAGAGTTTTGTGGACTTTGTTTTATCTCAAAAAAGTTGTGTCTCAGTCTCTTCGTGTTCCTATAGGAATACCCAGAGCTAGGTAATTTAGAAAGATGAAGGGTTTATTTGGTTCACAGTTCTGCAGACTGTATAAGAAGCATGGCTCCAGCATCTGCTTCTGGTGATGGCCTCAGGCAGCTTCCACTCATGACAGAAGATGATGGGGAATCCATGTGTGCAGAGATCACATGGCAAGAAAGGAAGCAAGAGAGACAGGGGAGAGGTGCCAGGTTTTTCCTAACCATCAGCTCTTGTAGGAACTGATAGAGTGAGAACCACATGGACAGCACCAAACTGTTCACGAGGGATCTGACCCCATGACCCAGACACCTCCTGTTAGGCTCTACCTCCAACATTGGGGACCGAATTTCAACATGAGATTTGGAGGGATCAAGCATCCAAATTATAGCAAGCTGTTATTAAAAAAAAGAGAGAGACACAATATCTATAGTAAGGAGACCACAGATATGAATGGGGGTGCGGGGACAGAAATGTAATATTACTCTGCCATGTACAGTATGGTAAGTGCTAGACTAGAAAATAAACAGGGGAGGAAATAAGACCAAGTGAAAGGGAGAAGGTGGTCTCTAGTAGGGCTCCCCATCCCCTGTACCACAGACCAGTACCAATCCATGACCTGTTAGGAACTGGGCCGCACGGCAGAAAGTGAGAGGTAGGCAAGCAAGCATTACCGCCTGAACTCTGCCCTCTGTTAGATGAGTGGCGGCATTAGATTCTCATAGAAGCACAACCCTATTGTGACTGCACATGCGAGGGCTCTAGGTTGCACACTCCCTGTGAGAATCTAATGCCTGATCTGAGGTGGAACAGTTTCATCCCAAAACCATCTCATCCCCCTGCAGTGCGGTATTTGGAAAAATGGTCTTCCATGAAACAGGTCCCTGGTGCCAAAAAGGTTGGGGACTGCTGTCCTGGAGGGCACACAGAGAGATCAGTGCATCCAGTGTCCTAACCTAAGGAAGCGCCTGAGCAAGGGTCTGAAAGTGCATTGAATGTCTGTGGATTGTCAGTCATTTCTAGTGTACCTAAAGCATAAGGAAATAGGAGGAAGGAAAGCGGGGTTAGACTAGGTTGTGAAAGGGATTATATGTCTGTCCCACAAGGAGTTTGGACTTTATTCTTTCAACATTGGGGACCTGTATCAGGAGACTGATGTGGTTGGATATGCTTTATAACTTTTGGTAGCATTGTGGCAAGTGCTAAGAATAATGTTTCTGGTAGACCATGCACGGTGGCTCATGCCTGTAATCCTAGCACTTTTGGAGGCCAAAGTGGACAGATCACCTGAGGTCAGGAGTTCGAGTCCAGCCTGGCCAACATGGTGAAACCCCGTCTCTACTAAAACTACAAAAATTAGCCAGGCGTGGTGGCAAGCACCTGTAATCCCAGCTACTCGGGACGCTGAGGTAAGAGAATCGTTTGAACCCAGGAGGTAGAGGTTGCAGTGAGCCGAGATTGCGCCACTGCACTCCAGCCTGGGTGGCAGAGTGAGACTCTGTCTTTAAAAAAAAAAAAAAAGAGAGAATGATGTTTCTGAAACTTTGATTATTCATCCTCCATCTTTGCTATTTTTGCCATACTTGAAGCATGCTTTTGGCTGATGAGTTAGACCAGTAGGAAGAAGCGGACGTAACTAATGAACTAATGGATTAAATTTCTTGTCTTTTTTTTTTTTCAAACGGAGTCTCACTCTGTTGCCCAGGCTGGAATGTAGTGGTGTGATCTTGGCTTACAGCAATCTCTGCCTCCTGGGTTCAAGTGATTCTCCTACCTCAGCCTCCGGACAAGCTGGGACTACAGGCACCTGCCACTGCACCTGGCTAATTTTTGTATTTTTAGTAGAGATGGAGTTTCACCATGTTGGCCACGCTGAATTTCTTACACACTTAATGGCCATAATATTTTAGTAGCTGTGAATGTTTTTTATAGTGTTAAAGTTCCTGCCTTGTTAACATTGCCATTTCACATTAATAGTAGTGTGCTTGCCAAAGCAGGCCCTTTCCCCCTTGTCTTCTAATATATAGCTGGCTAAAAAATTCAAATGAATAAGCTTGTGGCTGACCCAAGGTAAAGTACTTAATGTTCAGTAAGTTAGTTGGCTTGGAGACATTTATTTTGATCTTCAGATGACATTTTTTCTGATTCTTATCTTATTCTAGATCTTTATAACTGAGCTATCCAGCCACTTCATATAAGAGAACTATAACTATAATTTGTTTAAAAGATCATAGTTACTTGTTTTAAAACATGTTTAAATTTATTTTAATGTAGGTGATTGGAGTTGTGCTTCAAAAATTTCAGAAATTCAACAGTATTTTATCTGCCAACAATAAGCTCTTTACTTGATTGCACCATGAGAAAGCTGCTAATGAGACTTGTTGAGCACAAAAATGGACTTGAAGAACGAAAAGCCATTGTTTTCAAATGAAGAACACTGAACAGTTTTAAGCCTCAATGCTTTTTAATCACCACTGAGCTTTTCCTCATAACATCAGAATGGCAAGCAGGCGAAAATCAACAACACCTTGCATGGTCCTTGCCAGTGAACAAGATCCAGACCTTGAGTTGATATCAGATTTGGAGGAAGGTCCTCCTGTACTTACACCTGTAGAAAACACCAGAGCAGAGAGTATCTCAAGTGATGAAGAAGTTAATGAATCTGTGGATTCAGACAATCAGCAAAATAAAAAAGTTGAAGGTGGATATGAATGTAAATATTGTACTTTTCAAACTCCAGATCTAAATATGTTTACTTTTCATGTGGATTCAGAACATCCCAACGTAGTGCTAAATTCATCCTATGTTTGTGTCGAATGCAATTTTCTTACCAAAAGGTATGATGCACTTTCTGAGCATAATCTGAAATATCACCCAGGAGAAGAGAATTTTAAGTTGACTATGGTGAAACGTAATAACCAGACAATCTTTGAACAAACAATAAATGATCTGACTTTTGATGGTAGTTTTGTTAAAGAGGAGAATTTAGAGCAAGCAGAACCTACAGAAGTTTCTTCTTCAGGAATATCTATCAGTAAAACTCCTATCATGAAAATGATGAAAAATAAAGTGGAAAACAAACGGATTGCAGTTCATCATAACTCAGTTGAGGACGTTCCTGAAGAGAAAGAGAATGAAATCAAACCAGACCGTGAAGAAATTGTAGAAAACCCAAGTTCTTCAGCTTCTGAATCGAATACAAGTACTTCCATTGTAAACAGAATACATCCAAGTACTGCCAGCACGGTAGTGACACCAGCAGCAGTTCTTCCTGGATTGGCACAGGTGATAACTGCTGTATCTGCTCAGCAGAATTCTAATTTGATTCCCAAAGTCTTAATCCCTGTTAATAGCATTCCCACCTACAATGCTGCATTGGATAACAATCCCCTTTTACTTAACACCTACAACAAATTCCCTTATCCAACAATGTCAGAAATTACAGTTCTTTCTGCTCAAGCAAAATATACAGAGGAACAGATCAAGATATGGTTTTCAGCCCAACGTTTAAAACACGGTGTTAGTTGGACTCCCGAGGAAGTAGAGGAGGCAAGAAGGAAACAATTCAATGGAACAGTGCATACTGTACCTCAGACCATAACTGTTATTCCTACACACATTTCTACAGGGAGTAATGGTTTACCATCTATTTTACAGACATGCCAAATAGTTGGTCAGCCTAGTCTGGTCCTTACTCAAGTGGCTGGAACAAACAGCTTGCCAGTTACAGCACCTATAGCCTTGACAGTGGCAGGCGTTCCAAGTCAAAATAATGTACAGAAAAGTCAGGTACCTGCTGCTCAGCCTACTGCAGAAACAAAGCCAGCAACAGCAGCAGTTCCAGCTTCTCAAAGTGTCAAACATGAAACTGCATTGGTAAACCCCGATTCATTTGGCATTCGGGCGAAAAAGACAAAAGAGCAACTGGCAGAATTAAAAGTTAGCTACCTTAAAAATCAGTTTCCCCATGATTCAGAAATTATCAGACTTATGAAAATAACAGGCCTGACAAAAGGAGAGATTAAAAAATGGTTTAGTGACACAAGGTACAACCAGAGAAATTCAAAGAGTAATCAGTGCTTACATCTCAACAATGATTCCTCTACCACCATTATTATAGACTCCAGTGATGAAACCACGGAATCCCCATCTGTTGGTACTGCACAGCCTAAGCAATCCTGGAATCCTTTTCCTGACTTTACTCCCCAAAAATTTAAAGAGAAAACTGCAGAGCAGCTTCGTGTCCTTCAGGCAAGTTTTCTCAACAGCTCTGTACTTACAGATGAAGAATTAAATAGGTTAAGGGCACAAACCAAACTTACCAGAAGAGAAATCGATGCTTGGTTTACAGAGAAGAAGAAATCAAAAGCTTTAAAGGAAGAGAAAATGGAGATAGATGAAAGTAATGCAGGTAGTTCCAAAGAAGAAGCTGGAGAAACTTCTCCTGGAGATGAATCTGGTGCACCTAAGTCAGGGAGTACAGGCAAGATATGTAAAAAAACACCTGAGCAGCTGCACATGCTTAAGAGTGCATTTGTCCGGACACAGTGGCCATCACCAGAAGAATATGACAAGTTGGCCAAAGAAAGCGGGCTTGCTAGAACAGACATAGTTAGTTGGTTTGGGGACACCCGTTATGCTTGGAAGAATGGAAACTTGAAATGGTACTACTACTATCAGAGCGCCAATTCAAGTAGTATGAATGGTCTGTCTTCCCTTAGGAAAAGAGGGAGAGGGAGACCCAAAGGACGGGGAAGAGGAAGACCACGTGGGCGGCCTAGAGGAAGCAAAAGAATTAACAACTGGGACAGGGGACCATCACTCATAAAATTTAAAACTGGAACTGCAATACTTAAGGATTATTACCTGAAGCACAAGTTTCTTAATGAGCAAGACCTTGATGAACTTGTTAACAAATCACATATGGGCTATGAGCAGGTCAGAGAGTGGTTTGCAGAAAGACAGAGAAGATCAGAATTAGGTATAGAATTATTTGAGGAAAATGAGGAGGAAGATGAAGTTATTGATGACCAGGAAGAGGATGAAGAAGAAACAGATGATAGTGACACTTGGGAACCTCCACGACATGTGAAACGGAAGCTTTCTAAATCAGATGACTGAAATGTAAGTTATGTAAATTTTTAATCTGTGTATATGTTCATCAACCACATACATTTTGAACAGTCACCTTGTTGTATCAGTCATCTTCATTTTTGATAGTTTTTTCTGAAGTAGTTTTTCTTTTCCCTGATAAGTCTAGGTACCACTAGTATAGCCAAGAGATAAATGATTATCATGTGTAGTTTTATTATTATTACTTAGAGTTTAATGTCTTAATTACTAGTTTTCATATGAATTGGGGTTTTTTTTACTTTGTTTTGAAGGAAAGTTAGTCCCTATGAAGGGAGACTGGCGGTCGGGTTGAGGGGATTCACAAACAAATACTAAAGATAACTAAAATGTATTTATTGCAACGCCCCCTTCACTAAAGCTTCATTTTTTGCCTATTTAAGGAAAGAATTCAAAAATGAAAACTAAAAGGAAGGGGAAAAGTACACCAAAGGAAAGACCACAGGGTTGAGGATTGCACAGTTTTTTTAGGAAACTAGGTGAAAATGGGTATCTTTTTTTCTTCATTGCATTGCTCTCAAAACTTTATTCGATTTTTAACTAGAGTTAAAATGTTTTATGTATTTATGAAATTACTCGGTATCTTTTTAGTAATTTATAAAATTACTCAATATCTTTTTCTGTTAAAAGTCAAAGGTCTGTTTTAGGCCATATATAAATTCATGTTTGCTTAGGTAGCATCTGTCTTTGAAAACTGTGATATAAATTATTTCTGTTTTAGAGATCAAAAGGCAAATAACAGATTTGATATTAACCCAATTACTTAAAATATCTTTTCATTCTTTGGTATAAAACAAACCTGCTACCAGCACTAACATTGTATTTGATTTAAAGTATATCTCTGTAGTCTTAAAAATGCAAATAAATATGGCTTAAATTTGAAAGGTTTTGGCATGTTCCTTAAATCTTAGTTATATAAATTGGATTAATTAAAGTTGTACTGTAGTTGCAAATCAGATACCTGCTTTGGAGTTAGGAATTGAATTTTTAATACTTCTGGAATTTAATAACATAGTTTTGTTCTTTGCTATTCTTTGTTTTGGAGTGTTCCAGGGTAAAAGTACACTGTTTTGAAAACAATGCAGTTGTCATGAAATGTTTGTGTATGTCTGTCAGTAGTCCAAATAGCATCTTGCTATCAGAAATGACTGCAGTGTTCTCAAACAGTAAGAAAGGAAATGAGACGTTGACCCTCATTATTATTTTACAAGTGAGCATGCTTACTTATTTCCTTGGCTTTTTGCATCGGTATCCCATCCCCTACTTCTATGCTTTCTTATTCTGTGCAGTTTTTCCTTAATTCCCTTATATCTCCTCTCTGGTTTTATTTATTTTAACAATTATTTATAGAGAGCTTAATGTGTGCCAGGCACTGTTCTTACTGTCTGGCAATCCTTTTTCAGGTTTTCTCCTTGTTAATATTTTTTAAGGGATAACAGATGAAACTAAAAATGTACCTATTTTAATAAGCAGTATAAATATCATTCCAGGTTATAGGGTATAATGTAATCATTTTAAGTTATAAGAATTTAAACAGTTTCGTACAGCTTTATCCTGAAGTGCAGCCCTCCATTTCCTAATGTCAGAAATCTTCAGAGCAGGCTTTCTTCTGACCCAGATACATAAAATATTTTTAACGGCCTTTTTTTTTTTTATTGCTAAACACAAGAATGTGCACTCAGCCAAGATTAAATCAACAAATTTGTTGCTGCAGTGAATGTTGTTGTTGTAACCTCTGCAATGATTTTTTTGGGGACTTGCAGTCTTTCAAAAATATTGCGAATTTTTTAGTACAATTTAGTTTGATCTTTAAGTTTGTATAGATAATTCTTATGTTATATATTAACACTGTAATGGATACTAATTCTGGTCAGAAAAATTCACCTAAAGCTACAGTTTTCAAAAAATTATATGATGTATGCTATACATGCACTGTATGAGTCCATTTTCACACTGCTATAAAGAACTACCTGAGACTGGGTAATTTATGAAGAAAAGAGGTTTAGTTGACTCACAGTTCTGCCGGCTTAACAAGAAGCATGACTGGGAGGCCCCAAGAAACTTACAGTCATGGCAGAAGGTGAAGGGGAAGAAGGGTAAGCAAGCACATCTCACCATGACCGAACAGGAGAGAGAGCAAAAGGGGATGTTCCATACAACTTTCAAACAGCCAGATCTCGTGAGAACTCACTCACTATCATGAGAACAGCCAGAAGGGAAGTCCGCCCGCCCCCATGATTCAGTCACCTCCCACCAGGCTCCCTCCCCCGACACGCCCTGATTAAAAGTTATGTATGGGCTTATACAATTTCAAATGTAAAAACAGCCTATTTACATGTGTTGAAACAATAAGATTTTGTGGTATCACTGTCGCTTAATAGTTACAATTCACGGTAAGATTTGGGTGGGGACCCAGAGCCAAACCATATTATATACATTTGTGGTAGCATAGAAGCATGCCTTGCTTTTTAAATACACAAAAGTCTAAATTTATAAAACATCAAGTTATCATTGGCTTAGTAAAATAATTTTTCAGTTATAAGAGGATTCACCATAGCCTTCTCTAAACAGTTATTTCTTCATTTAAATATTCTTCAATTTACCAAAAAAGTTACCAAAACCTTACCAAAATAGTTATTACAGGAAGTGAGGTACATATATATCTTTTGTAGGCCAGGCGCGGTGGCTCAAGCCTGTAATCCCAGCACTTTGGGAGGCCGAGGCGGGCGGATCACGAGGTCAGGAGATCGAGACCATCCTGGCTAACACGGTGAAACCCCGTCTCTACTAAAAAATACAAAAAAACTAGCCGGGCGAGGTGGCAGGCGCCTGTAGTCCCAGCTACTTGGGAGGCTGAGGCAGGAGAATGGCGTAAACCTGGGAGGCGGAGCTTGCAGTGAGCCGAGATCGGGCCACCGCACTCCAGCCTGGGCGACAGAGCGAGACTCCGTCTCAAAAAAAAAAAAAAAAAAAAAATCTTTTGTAGCTTATATAGAAATAGAAAAAAGTACAAGTCTTTAGATTTCATAGTCTGCTTATTACAGATGCTGACAATGAAATATATACTCCCTGCTAATACAATTTTAAATTAATTATTACATAAAGGTGATAAATGTTTATAAGCAAATCTAGCATATGAAGAACATATACATAGATGAGTTGCACACAAAGTCTAGTGTATTGTGTGAGACCTGTGGCAGGTGATTTCAAGAGAATACAAAAGATGTATTTTCATGAATAATTGATACTTTTATTTCTAAAAGTAGTAAAAATTAAAATGCGGTTTTCTTTAAATTTTCAGTTTTTTATGATGTTTTTCTTTTATAGCTGCCTAAAACGTTGAAGGAGAATCAATTCTTCAACTCAAGATGTCTGATTTACTGTGAATTGGCCCAATCTTTGATGACATTGAAAACGTTTTGGGGCATACACACTCAAAAAACAGGATCCAATACCCAAAAGAAATGGAACTTAATGTTGTGCCAAAGTTAAACTACTGCAGTTGGTGGAAGTTCTGCAATGTAAATAGAACACTAATTAAAAAACAACTTGTAAAAATTCAATTTAAATTTTAATACAGTACATTTTTATTCTAATATGATGGAGACATTCTGAATCTTAGACTTTCTGAGGGGGTTTAATGACCACTAGAGCTTGTCCTCATATTCAGTCCAGCTTAATACTGTGTGTCTAGTAAGATGGGCTATATTGCCTCTATTCTTTGAGATGTGATTAAGCTTAGAACTTTGACCAAAAATTTTACAGTAAAAATTGTTAGGAATGGGTAAAAAAACCAAACCCTGATTTATTACTATGTCTTATTTATCAGACCCTGCACTAAGATTAAAAGTTGTGCATGGGCTTATACAATTTCAAATGTAAAAACAGCCTATTTATATATGTTGAAACAATAAGATTTTATGGCTTCACTGGCCCTTAATAATTGGATCCTTCATTAGACACATTCATGGATACCACTGTTTCTACTGTTACTTGTTCCAATAGAAACTGATTTGCTTTTCTTAAACTGAAGGTAATTAATTCTGAAGAAGGAGAAGAAACTGGCATGATAATTTGGATAGGGAGAAACTTTGAAATAAATACTGCACCAAAAAATGTGAAAAATAATCATGTACTAAATATATACTTAGTGTTTTCTTACAATCGTGGAAATCAGAAATGTTTATACAGGTGTCAGATCAGAATTTTTAAGAGTTATCTTTCAGTGAAATTCTACTTTTATAACAATTTCAGTGAATAGAGAAAAAATTCTGAACTGATCATAATGAGTTAAAAGTTAGCTTTTCACTTATGAATCATGGGAGTGTTAACTGTTAACTCGGCGTATCAGGAGACTGAAAGTTCATACTAACTTACAAACTTTGTAAAGACTGGTGCTGTTCATTCATGTTGGGAAGAACCCTTTCTTTTGTGACCATAGGACCATTTTTCAAAACGCGCTTTCTTCGTAGAAGAAATGTTCAGTTTAAATTAGCTTTGGATTTTAACATGTTTTTCTGAATGACCAGATGTAGGCTTGGCCAGTTTATTTTCTCTAATTTAATGAATAATAAATATTAAGCTCTTGGTTAAATGTTTTTCAGCCATTGAAAATGTTATGAAAAAGCCTTGAATATGCATGCTGCTTTCATTTTTATAAACTTTTTATTTTTTAACTATAGCTTTATTAGTAATTCCAAAATGCTGCAATGTAGCTGATTTCCTCACTCAGACAGCTGGCTTTGTGGGTGGCTTTTTTCATACTATTGTTAACTTTTTTAAAAAAGAAGCAATGTAAAGACTGTAATGCACTAAGCTTTTTTTTTTCTTTTACACGTTTAAAAACTTCTTAAAGCACTCTGTAATATAATGATTAAATTGCTCCCTTTTATAAACCATTGCTAATGTGGTCTGAGTTTTGTTTGACAATAATTTTAATGTTCTCAAAATTTGAAATGTCAAGTATTAGAAATGAAGCCTTTGAATATATTTGTTTCCCTTGCAATATGTTAACTCTGTGTAGCTGTAAATAACTATTAATAAATTTCCCTCATCTCTTTTATAGGCCTGATAAAATTCTTCTCTGACGTTTGCTAGCTTTTAAATACATTTATTTGACAGAGCAAAAGAACCCTCTTCTGGTTGATTGTGACCTTGAATACAAAATAAAAGTTAGTAGTGATTAGTAGTTTACAGTGACCTTTTTTTCATTTTATTAACGAAGTCAATTTTTAAAACATTATGGTAAAGCATATATCACATACTATTTGCCATTATACCAGTTTTTAAGTATAAATTCAATGGCATTAATTATATTCACAATGCTGTACCACCTTCACCACTATTTCCAAAAGTTTTTCATCACTCCAAACAGAAACTCGGAACCATTAAGCAATAACTCCCCATTCCTTCCAGCCCCTGGTAACCTCTAATCTACTTTTTGTCTCTATGAATTTGTGTATTCTTGATATTTCAAAGAAGTAGAGTCCTACAATATTTGCCCTTTTGTGTCTGGCTTATTTCACTTACAGTTTTCAAGGTTCATCCATGTTGTAGCATATATCAAGACTTTGTTTTCATGGCTGAATTATGTTTTATTATGTGTGTGTGTGTGTATGTGTGTGTCTATACACATATGCACTTCCCCCCACACACATTTTGTTTATCCATGTACCTGTTGATGGAAACTTGTTTTTTTCCCACCTTTTGGCAATTGTGAATAATGCTGCAGTAAACATTGGCATACAAGGATCTGAGTACCCGTTTTCAGTTGTTTTGAGTATATCAAGGAGTAGTATTCCTGAATCATGTGGTATTCTGTGTTTAATTTGTTGAGGAACCACCAAACTCTTCCACAGTGCCAGGATGTTCTCTGAAGCATCTGTACCATTTTACATTCCACTAGCAATATACAAGCATTCCAGTTTCTCCACATTTTTGCCAACACCTTTTGTTTTCAGTTTTAAAAAGTCATTATAAGCCCAGTGTGATGGTCTGTGTCTGTAGTCCCAGCTACCAGGGAGGCTGAGGTGGGAGGATCACTTGAGCCTAGGTGTTTGAGGCCAGCGAGAACAATACAGTGAGACCTCATTTCTAAAAATAAAAAAATAAAAATTATAGCCATCCTAGTAAGTATAAAGTAGTGTCTCATTGTGGTTTTGATTTGCATTTCCCTAATGAAGAATGATAATGTCATTAGGAAAATGCAAATCAAAACCACATCTTTTCACATAATTATTTATATATCTTCCTTTGAATATATTGAAAATCTGTTCAATCCTTTGCCCAGTTTTTAATGGGGTTGCTTTTTTGTCGTTCAGTTTTAGCTCTTTATATATTCTGGATGTTACAGCTTTATCAGATACAGATGCTTCTTGACTTAGAATGGAGTTCGTCCTGATAAACCCATTGTAAGTTAAAATTTTTATAAGTTGAAAATGCATTTAATACCCTGATGAACTCACCATAAACTTGAACTATCATAAATTATTATTATTTTTTAAGACAGAGTCTCACTCTGTCACCCAGGCTGGAGTGCAACCTCTGCCTCCTGGTTTCAAGCGATTGTCATGCCTCAGCCTCCCAAGTATCTGGGATTACAGGTGCCCGCCACCATGCCCAGCTAATTTTTATATTTTCAGTAGTGATGGGGTTTTACCATGTTGTCCAGACCGGTCTCAAACTCCTGACCTCAGGTAATCCACCCACCTTGGCCTCCCAAAGTGCTGGGATTACAGGCATGAGCCACTGCACCCAGCCACAATCATAAATTATAAATCCACGTGTTCCTCAGTTTACCATGGGGTTAGGTTACCATGGGATTATGTGTTAGTAAATCCATCTTAAGTTCATTATCATTTGGGGACTGTCTGTATTACGATTTGCAAATAAGTTGATCCTCATCATGGATTCTGTATATGCAAATTTGCCTACACATTAAAATGTATTTGTAACCCCCAAATCAGTACTCATAGTACTTTCTTGGTCATTCCTGCACATATATAGAATGGAAAAAAACATTGTGTTGCTCAGTGCACATGTTCCCAGCAAAGGTCAACCAAAGAGATGCTTTTGCCTTGTTTCAGGTCTCATACTGTAGAGACCTGAGTGTGTGTATGTGTACATAGGAATTAAAAAGCATCCTTTTTGTAGTCTATTTATTGCTGTGTTTTCCATATTTTTCTGCTTTCTGCAGTTTAAAATGGTCCCAAGTGTAGTGCTGAAGTGCTGTCAGTGTTTCTAAATATTAGAAGGCTGTCATGTGCCCTATGGAGAAAATATGTGTTAGATAAGCTTCATTCAGGCATGAGTTACAGTGCTGTTGGTCATGAGTTCAGTGTTAATGAATCAACAGTATTAAATAAGGTGTCTTTAGGCTGGGCACGGTGGCTTATGCCTGTAATCCCAGCACTTTGGGAGGCCGAGGCTGGTGGATCACGAGGTCAGGAGATCGAGACCATCCTGGCTAACATGGTGAAACCCCATCTCTACTAAAAAGTTACAAAAAAATTAGCTGGGCGTGGTAGTGGGCACCTGTAGTCCTAGCTACTGGGGAGGCTGAGGCAGGAGAATGGCGAGAAACTGGGAGGCAGAGCTTTCAGTGAGCCAAGATCAAGCCACTGCACTCCACCTTGGGCAACAGAGCGAGACTCTGTCTCAAAAAAAAAGGGGGTCTTTAAACAGAAAAATACAAAACATGGTGATGTTTTGATTATTTGATATATATTGTGACCAGAGGCTCGCAGGACCCTAACCCTCGGAGCGTGTATTCAGGATTTGCTAATTCAGTGTGACTTTATAGAATGTAATAACTGAATAATGAGAATTAACTGTATTTTTCTCATTCTATAGGCTGTATTTTCATTTTCTTGATAATGTCCTTTGATACACAAAAAGTTTCAAGTTTTCTGGAGCCCAGTTTATCTATTTTTGTTGTTGTTGCTTGTGTGCTTTTGGTGTCATATCTAAGAATCTATTACCAGGCTGGGCGCGGTGGCTCATACCTATAGTCCCAACGCTTTGGGAGGCCAGGGCAGGTGGATCACCTGAGGTCAGGAGTTCAAGACCAGCCTGGCCAACATGACAAAACCCCATCTCTACAAATATAAAAAAATTAGCTGGATGTGATGGCACACTCCCGTAATCCCAGCTACTCAGTAGGCTAAGGCAGGAGAATCACTTGAACCCAGGAGGTGGAGGCTGCAGTGAGCTGAGATCACCACTGCACTCCAGCCTGGGTGATAAACCGAGACTCTGTCTCAGAAAAAAAAAAAAATTACCAAATTCAAGATCATGAATAATTTTCTTCTAAGGGTTTTATGATTTTAGCTCTTATATTTAGGTCATTAATCCATTTTGAGTTAATTTCTTAATATGGTGTGAGGCAGGGGTCCAACTTCATTCTTTTGCATGTGGTAATCCAGTTGTCCCAGCATCATCTGTTGAAGCAATTATTCTTTCCCCCATTGAATGGACTTGGGACCCTTGTCAAAAACCAATTGGCTATAAATGTGTGAAGGTTTACCTCTGAACTCGTAGTTCTGTTCCATTGGTTGATATTTCTATCCTTATGCCAGTACCACATTATTTTAATTAATGTAGCTCTGTGGTAAGCCCAAGCTGGAGAGGCCGTGTTTGGGATGTGTACAAACAAGGCAGAGAAGTCACTCTGCCTAGACACACAGAAGAAATGAGAGTACCTAAGGCGCTAGAATATGGGGCAGGCAGAACCAGCCAGTGACAGACATGGTTCTCCACGTCTTCATGAAGCTCTGCCATTTTGTTTTCGGGGGATATTTAACAACATGTCAAATAAAGTTGACTTTGAACTGATCTACTCACTACCTGGGACTTTGGACAAGTTACCGCTCAGATCCTATTAATATTTCCTTATCTGTCAAAATGGGAATAATAACATCTAAACTCAGATTATGAGAATAAATAAAAATAATAGGGTGCCCATAGCATGACCTCATTATAGATGCTCAATAAATGTTGGTTCTTTCCCTCCCCTACTTGTAGATAGGACATGAACTTCTGACTTAGAACTGAGAAGTGCTCCTCTGCTCCTTTTGCCATTTCCTGGTTCTCGCTCTCTCTTTTTTTGAGACGTCGTTTCGCTCTTGTTGCCTAGGCTGGAGTGCAATGGTGCGATCTCAGCTCACCACAACCTCCTCCCGGGTTCAAGTGATTATCTGCCTAAGCCTCCCAAGAAGCTGGGATTACAGGCATGCGCCACCACGCCTGGCTAATTTTGTATTTTTAGTAGAGACAAGGTTTCTCCATGTTGGTCACACTGGTCTTGAACTCCCTATCTCAGGTGATTTGCCCGCCTCAGCCTCCCAAAAAGTGCTGGGATTACAGGCATGAGCCACCTTTCCCAGCTCCTTTCTTTTATTTACCCATTCACCCATCCATTCAACAGGATTTGGATCTCCATAAATCAAACACATTTATTGCAGTGGTCTGAGCTAATCCCTGACTGGGGGCTGAGTTGACAAGATTGAAAAAGACACCACCTCTAACCTCCAACAGTTCACACAGAGTGCTAAGTGCCACCGTGGATAGATAGAAGCATGGAAGAATTACAGGAAAGAAGGATGGCTGCCTGGAGGAGGTGGTGGTTACCTTGTGATAGGGAACTCAGTCACCTCAATCAAAAATCAGATTTTTATAGATAAAAATCTACAGAAACAGGTTTTAATTGCAACCATACAATTTTAGATACTTGCAGAATTCTAGTTTCCTAACACTGCCTAACACTTGGCATTTCCTTAGTGTATGAGGTGGATTTAACAGTTACAGAGCATATAATGCCCTTCTATTTTATTGGTTTACTTTTTTAAAATGACATTACCCTAGCGCCTCTCTATCAAATGAGGCAGAGGTGTGTAACTTGGGGTCCCAGACCCCGGGTCCTCAGTAGTGATAGGAGTCTTTGAAGTGTTTTCATTATTGCCTGAGGTCCGATGCTAATCATATTTTACCTTTCTTCAGGCTTCCCAGGGCCCTAACAGCTGCTGCTTTGCTTTCAAGTGGAATTCTAATGTACAGTGAGGCAATGCTGGTAGACTTAGGCTGGGTAGAAGTTTGGATTGGCTGTTATATAGGATCTGGATTCTATTTTTTAAAGGAAAAATAAAATAATTATTAGTTAATAAATGCAGTTTTATACAGAAATCCTCCACAACTTTCAGGGAGAAACTGAAAGGGTCATTAGTGGTAAAAGGCTGGAAACACTCGAGCCCAGGAATCCTGAGTCTAAAGGGCAAAGAACTACCTTTTATCCGTAAGCACCCTAACACTTCCTGTTTCAGCAGAAATATGTTTTTTTTTTTTGTTTTTTCTTTTTATTTGAGACGGAGTTTCACTCTGGTTGCCCAGGCTGGAGTGCAATGGTGTGATCTCGGCTCACCGCAATCTCCACCCGCCGAGTTCAAGGGATTCTCCTGCCTCAGCCTCCGAAGTAGCTGGGATTACAGGAATGTGCCACCACACCCTGCTAATTTTGTATTTTTAGTAGAGAAGGGGTTTCTCCATGTTTGCCAGGCTGGTCTCGAACTCCCGACCTCAGGTGATCCGCCGGCCTCAGCCTCCCAAAGTGCTAGGATTACAGGCGTGAGCCACCACTCCCGGCCAGAAAAATGTTTTAAATGGATCTTGATGAATTAATTCATCAGTAGCTAATACCTGGAGGCTGTTCAGGTGGAGCCTCCCACCCCAGGCTGCTGGATAAATGAGCTGGTTCTAGATTTTGGCAATAATTAGCAGAGAGATGGATTCTGACACCTAGGGGAGTGGATTAGGTGAGTTTGTGGAGGAAAAAGTTGGGTTGAAGAAAGAAGGATGAACCTGGTCAACATGAAGGAACCCCTCTCTACTGAAAATACAAAAAAATAGCTGGGTGTGGTGGCCCGCGGGAGGCTGAGGTGGGAGGATGGCTTGAGCCCAGGAGGTTGAGGATGTAGTGAGTCGAAATCGCGCTTCTGCACTCTGGCCTGGGCGACAGAACGAGGCCCTGTCTCAGAAATAAACAAACAAATAAAATTTTAAAAAAGAACTCTGAAAGACATAAATAGTGTAAGAGAAACTGGTGAGAGTGAAGAGGAATAGGAAAAAAATAGGGAAAACCTGTATGTTTATTACCTACTGTGTAATATGGCACAATATTGTGCTGTACGATACTGGCCAATATTTTGTCAACAATCTCTGCTTTCTAGAGTCAAAAGTATAAGAATTGTAGTAAATTGTAGTAAATGTTAGTCTTAGAATTTTGAGATTTTGAGGTGTTCTCCAGGGTCGAATGAATGCTCCCTGATATAGCCTCCCACGGTATATTTCTGTGTTTTTTCTTTCATAAATGCATGAATAACTCCGGTCTTTAGTTATTGGTGGTAGTGTCTCTCGTCTGGAAGCACGGAGAGTACGAACTCATTTCTGTATTTCCCAACTTTCAGCCACGTAATGACTGAAACTTAACAAGTTACTTAACCTCTCCAAACTCCAATATCTTCAAAATAGGATTTGCAAAATGGGAATCACTGTGGCTTTCACAAGGTGGTCGTTAGCCGAAAAGAGAAAATGTGCTTAACACAGTGCCAGGAATGCACAGTGGTTAAAAATTGGTACTTGCACCGGGCGCAGTGGCTCACTCCTGTAATCCCAGCGCTTTGGGAGGACGAGGTAGGCGGATCGCTTTAGATCAGGAGTTCAATACCAGCCTGGGCAACGTAATGAAACCCAGTCTCCACAAAAAATACAAAAGTTAGCCAGGCGTGGTGGCACGCACCTGTAGCCTCAGCTACTTAGGGGACTGAGGCGGGATGATCGGTTGAGCCAGGGAGTTCGAGGCTGCAGTGAGCCATGATCTCGCCATTGCACTCCAACCTGGGTGACAGAGTGAGACCCTGTCTCAAAATTGTTTTATTTTATTTTTTATTTTGAGACGGAGTTTCACTCTTGTTGCCCAAGCTGGAGTGCAATGATGCGACCTCGGCTCACCGCAATCTCCGCCTCCCGGGTTCAAGCGATTCTCTTGCCTCAGCCTCCCAAGTGGCTGGGATTACAGGCACGCGCCACCATGCCCGGCTACTTTTTGTATTTGCAGTAGAGACTGGGTTACTCCATGTTGGTCAGGCTGGTCTCGAACTCCCGACCTCAGGTGATCCGCCCACCTTGGCCTCCCAAAGTGCTGGGATTACAGGCTTGAGCCACCGCGCCCGGCCTTTTAATTTTTAAAAAGGTACCTGCGAGTTTTAAACAGCTACTCTGGGGCCAGCGTGCTTTTTGAGGCGTGCCGGTAAGGATCGTTCTGTCCATCTCCTGACAAGAAGTCAAAACCTCCGTCCTGGGGTTCGGTCAGTTAGTGGGTCAGATAATCATCTCAGCTCAACCACTACTCCCAGCCAGCAGCGGCCACATCCCCGCGTCGCCCTCGAAGACTACAAGTCCCAGCCTGCCGCGCTCTGGGCCGTGGAAGCCCCGCCTTTTCCGGCGGGCCCCGCCTTCTCGTTGCCCCGGCCGCGGGCGCGCGATGGATACCGGGTGCTGGTTGTTCGGCGGCGAGTTCGAGGACTCTGTGTTCGAGGAGAGGCCGAAGCGGCGGTCAGGACCGCCCGCGTCCTACTGCGCCAAGCTCTGCGAGCCGCAGGTGAGAAGCTGGGGCCTCTTTGACTCATCCCGCACCCCAGGCCTCGCCCTCCGGGGGTCCCCGGCCCGTCCGCCCGCGCGAACGCAAACCCTGGCCAGCTCCAGCGCCCACCGCCTCCCCCGCCGTCCCTCACCCTACACGGGGAAGCGGACTTCCCAGGCCCCATTCCGGGTCCATGGGCGAGAATCCCCGCGTTGTCAGCAGCTTGACTCCCAACTGGCATTTGGCCGGCCTGGCTGTTGCCGGCTGGACTCACGCCCCGGCCCTGAAATCTCCGGTACCTCCCATTTGCCTTCACTACTCCTACAGCCGGGCGGTCAGGCCCCCCAAAACGGTGACGTCCGGCGTACCCACTCTCCCCTCCCTTTTCAGCGAGCTCCCCCTCTCCGTACCAACCCCGCGCTGTTATATTCGTTTTTCAAGGCACATCTTAAATGTCACCTCCTCCAGAAAGTCTTTTCCGATTTCGTCTTCCAGCCAAATATTTTTCTTTGGCTCCCTTCCCTCTATTTAGCTTCTACTTAAAGCACTTGTCAGTATTCTCATGCAGTCCTGAGACCCGGAGTGCTAAATGATCGCACCAGCATGGGTTCTTGATGCCCTTGGCAGTGCCTAACCGTTTTTATTCATAATAGGGACTCCGAGAATATTTTTGAATTAGTACAGTATTACTTCCTATTCTTTCATGAGTGTAAATAGCTCATCAGTCAAAACTAATGTTTATGAAAAATACGGAAGTGTTGCGGGCACAGTGGTGAGTTCCTTCGCATATATTGTCTCATTCGTTCCTCACAATTGTACTGACAAGATGCCAGGCCCTCGATAATTACCGAATTATGTTTTTGGTTATTTCGGTTACATTTTCTCCTTATCACATAACGATCTTTCAAAGTTACCTTCAGCCCTGGATCACGTGGACTCAAAACAGGGAATGGGCTTGGAAACCACGTGGCAGAACATTAAAAAACTGGTTATGAGATAGGACTCTTGAATTCCAATATTGGCTTTACCACTTGCCTTGAAAGTGTCAGCTCCTTATCTGTCCCTTCAGAAAAATAATACATGCTGCCTCACAGAGTTATTGTGAGAGTGAAATGAGACGATGTATATGAAAATACTTTGTCAGGTCTGATGTGCTGTACAGGTGCATAGAATTTAACACAAATTCTAAAGTCAAGTGAGTTTTTTCTTTTTTTCTTTTTTTTTTTTTTTTTGAGGTGGAGTTTGTCGCCCAGGCTGGAGTGCAATGGCGCAATCTCGGCTCACCGCAGCCTCCGCCTCTCGGGTTCAAGCGATTCTCCTGCCTCAGCCTCGGAACTAGCTGGGATTACAGACGTATGCCACCATGCTGGCCTAATTTTGTATTTTTAGTAGAGACAGGGTTTCTCTACTGTTGTTAGCCAGGCTGGTCTTGAACTCCTAACCTCAAGTGATCTGCTCGCCTTGGCCTCCCAGAGTGCTGGGATTATAGGTGTAAGCCACTGCCTTTCCGTATATTATTTATTCAATAGTCAAACAATCTCAGTCTCACTTTCCTTTTTATCCATAGGATTTAAATCAGTAGAAAAGCAAATAAAGGCCGGGCGCGGTGGCTCAAGCCTGTAATCCCAGCACTTTGGGAGGCCGAGACGGGCGGATCACGAGGTCAGGAGATCGAGACCATCCTGGCTAACACGGTGAAACCCCGTCTCTACTAAAAAATACAAAAAACTAGCCAGGCGAGGTGGCGGGTGCCTGTAGTCCCAGCTACTAGGGAGGCTGAGGCAGGAGAATGGTGTAAACCTGGGAGGCGGAGCTTGCAGTGAGCTGAGATTGGGCCACTGCACTCCAACCTGGGTGACAGAGCGAGACTCTGTCTCAAAGAAAAGCAAATAAAGTATCCCAGATGGGCATTTCCTCAGACTTCTCTCCTACAGGTTTTTGGTATTTCGTTGCATTGGAGCCTCCGTCTAGCCTTAATTTCTGTCTCCTTTGCTGAAATTCTAGTTTTTTGCCATTATGACATTTTCATAATTGCACCATATCTATAATTCTTCTTTCCTATGTCCTTTCAGTAAAGAATTGTCAATCCCTATTCCAGTCACACTAAAATTTCTCTACAAGAGAGCATGTCTCATTTTAAAGAACCAATGTGGCCTGGATGCGGTGGCTCACACACTTTGGAAGGCCAAGGTGGGCTGAGGCAGGAGGATCACTTGTGCTCACGAGTTCGAGACCAACCTGGCCAACATGGTGAAACCCTATCTCTACAAAAAAAAATACATATATATATATATGTATATATTTATAAATTAGCCACATGTTATGGCACGCACCTGTAATACTAGCTACTTGGGAGGCCCAGGCATGAGAATTGCTTGAACCCAGGAAGTAGAAGTTGAGCTGAGATCGTACCACTGCACTCCAGCCTGGGCAACAGGGTGAGACTCTCTCAAAAAAATAAATACATAAATAAAGAACTAGTGTGAACTATGCTAGATAAATGTAGGTTCCCAGGCACCACAGCCCTACGTATTGAAAATGCTGTAGATAAAATCATACAGTTGTGTGCTGCTTTTCTAGAGAGGTATCATATTATTGTTGTGCTTATTACCTGTGATAATTTTTTTTTTACTTATTAAATATATTTTTAGTTGAGACAGGGTCTCACTCTGTTGCCCTGGCTGGAGTGCTGTGACCTGAACACAGCTTACCATAGTCTCCGAGTCCCAGACTCCCAAGCAGTTCTCCCACCTCAGCCTCCCAAGTAACCACATCCCACATCCAGCTCCTTCTTTTTTTTTTTTTTTTTTTTTTGGTAGAAATGAGGTCGCCTCTGTTGCCCAGGCTGGTCTTAGACTCCTGGGCTCAAGCAATCCTCCTACCTCAGCTTCCTGAGCAGCTGGGACTACAGGTGCATGCCAACATGCCCAGCTAAATTTTTTTTTTTTTTTTTTTTGAGACAGTCTTGCTCTGTCGCCCAAGCTGGGGTGCAGTGGGATGATCTCTGCTCACCGCAACCTCCACCTCCTGGGTTCAAGCAATTCTCCTGCCTCAGCCTCCCAAGTAGCTGGGATTACAAGTGCATGCCACCACGCCTAGCTAATTTTTGTATTTGCAGTAGAGACAGGGTTTTGCCATGTCCACGCTGGTCTTGAACTCCTGGGCTTAAGCTATCCACCAGCCTTGCCTCCAAAAGCGCTAGGAATTATAGGTGTGAGCCACTGTGCCTGGCCTGCCCAGCTAATTTTAAATATTTTGTAGACATAGGGTCTTTCTCTCGCTATGTTGCCCAGACTGGTGTCCAGACTCCTGGCATCAACAGCCTACCCACCTGGGCCTCCCAAAGTGCTAGGATTGCAGGTGTAAGCCACCTGCACCTGAGCAGCTTGTGATCTTTAATAATAAAAATGGAGCCCTAATAAAATGTTCGTCTTTTGTCAGTGTGTTTCTCCTGAATCTTGTCTTAAGAAGCTTTGAGGTTAATCAATTATATTATGGGAAATTGCTTTCTGAGATGAGGTGGAAAAGCATAGCTTCACTCTGCTAATAGACTGTTTTCATGATTTCAAGTGAGTTTATGAAAAACAGAAACAGTGAGATGTTGAAGGCTGACTCTCAAGAAATTCAAAGAGATCTGGCCTACAGACCAAGAGTGATCAGGTAGAATTCCACATTATAGAACGATGCGATGGCTGGCTGGGCACGGTGGGTCACGAACCCTGGTAATCCCAGGCACTTTAGGGAGGCCGAGACGGGTGGAGTCAGGAGGTCAGGGATCGAGACGTATCCTGGCCTTAACACGGTGAATACCCGTCTCTTACTAAAAAGTACCAAAAACAGCCGTTAACGAAGGTGGCGGGCGTGTAGTCCCAGTACCCCGTCTACCGGAGGGTGAGGCAGGAGAATGCCGTATAACCTCGGGAGGTCAGAGCTTCAGTGAGGCTGTATGATCCTGGCCACTGCACCCATTCCGAGCCTGGGTCGACAGATTACAAGACTTGTCCTCAGAAAAAAAAAAAAAAAAAAAAAAAAAAAAAAAAAAAAAAAAAGGATGGCGGTACTTGACGTGGGCTCTTGTTTTATCGATTATGGCATATGCAAATAACAGTGTGCCAAGTTAGTGTGGTGTTTATGAAGATGAATTTAACCTTTTGTGATGTGTGTTTGTAATCTGAGGTGCCCAAGTTTCTGTCCTTTTCTGCTTGGCTCTGTATGATTTGTTTGTTTCCTGTAACTCCAACAAAAGGATCTATTTGGGGTCCTTGTAGGTTTATTCCCCGAGGTTTTGTATCTCCTCATTACTTAGGACCCTCTAGCACAGATATTTCACTGTGCCACAGGAGCAAATCACCCCAAGATGTGTAGGAAAAAGGAAGAACTAACAACTAGATGTTAGATTGCGTTACACATGTATCTCATTTCATCTTCATGAGAATCCTGTTCTTATTTTGCTCATGAAGAGGTTATAAAGTAAGTTAGTGGCAAAACCAGAATTCAAAGCCTGGTATATTTGGTCTCAGAATATTCTTTCTACTATGTCATGATTCTTTCCATAGTAGTAGTGATTATTTTCTCTAGCCATTCCTTCTCTACCTTTTAGGAAAGTAGGATTGACTAGATGTATTAGTCCATTTTCATTCTACTGTGAAGAAATACCCAAGAGTAGATAATTTATTTTAAAAAAAAAAAAAAAGAGGTTTAATGCCCTCACAGTTCCACATGGCTGAGGAGGCCTCACAATCATGGCAGAAGGTGAAGGAGGAGCAAAGTCATGTCTTACATGGCAGCAGGCAAAGAGAGCATGTGCAGGGGAACTGCCTTTCATAAAACCATCAGATATCTTGAGACTTACTAACTACCATGAGAAGAGCATGGGAAAAACCCACCCCATGATTCAGTTACCTCCCACCAGGTCCCTCCCATGACATGCGGGGGTTATGGGAGCTGCAATTTAAGATGAGATTTGGGTGGGGACACAGCCAAACCTTATCACTAGAATGCTGAAATCTTCTTTAATTCATTTAAATATTCATTTAATTCATTGATCAGTTATAACATTACTTTCCACCTACGAAAAAAATCACCCCTATTCTGAATCCTTTTTTCTGTTGTGTTTTCCTCCTTTCATTCCTTTATTTAACAAATAATTTCCAGAAAGCACTGCAGGAGTATTCCAGTATCTCTGAAAAATTGTCACCAACCAATTTTGCCATGAAAAGGGATGTCCAGGAAGGTCAGGCTCGGTGTCTGGCTCACCTGGGTAGGCATATGGAAGCGCTGGAGATTGCTGCAAACTTGGTGAGTGATTTTATTGCTGATTTTCACACATATTTCTATAAGGGTGGTCGAATGGTGTATTTTTTGAAAACAAAACAAACTTCTTGCTAGTAGCAAAATCTATGGGTTTGGATAAGCAGAAGAAAATTGTCAGGGGTGTGAGAATTTTATTATGATGACCAACTTAGAACCTAGGCATAATCATTTTCTTTTTTTTTTTTTTTTTTTTTTTTGTCTAAAGCTGAGACTCACTCTGTTACCCACGCTGGAGTGCAGTGGTGCGATCTCGGCTCACTGCAAGCTCCCCTCCCGGGTTCACGCCATTCTCCCGCCTTAGCCTTCGAGTAGCTGGGACTACAGGCGCCCGCCACCACGCCCGGCTAGTTTTTTGCATTTTTAGTAGAGACGGGGTTTCACCGTGTTAGCCAGGATGGTCTCGATCTCCTGACCTCGTGATCCACCCACCTCGGCCTCCCAAAGTGCTGGGATTACAGGCTTGAGCCACCGCGCCCGGCCGGCATAATCATTTTCTTGTAATACTTTTCTTGTGTCATTCTCAAAATTCTTTATTGCCTGAAAATCTCCTTTGCAGAGGTTTTTCTCTTGTTAGGGGTAACATTCAGTGTGGAAGGACTATGGGTGATCTGTTTTCTTCATTAGATTGTTTTTAGACTTTGTTCTCCAAAATTTCTACAATGAACATATATTTTTCTAAGCACAAAAAAGGTCCCCCCCACAAAAATGACTAAATACTCATACCAAGCCACACTTAATAGTCCTTTTTATTTTTAAGTGAAATTTGCAGAATTTTTTTTTCTTTTTTCTTTTCCCCAGTCAACAAAAGGGACACTTTATTGAGGCCCCAGGGCCATGGGGCCTGGGCAGGAGGCTGCTGTTTGGGGGAAAGAAGAGCCTTCTTTGGCCTTCTTCTTGGGGCACAGGTTGTTGGTTTGGCCGCCCTTCTTGTGGCAGTTGACAGCACAGCGGGGTGCAGGCGGGCACAGCACTTGCGGCAGATCATGTTGTTGCGGTTGTATTTCTGGGCGAACTGGCAGAGGGAAGGCTCAGTAATGCCACCTTGCAGGCGCAGCACCATGTGCAGAGTGGACTCTTTCTGGATGTTGTAGTCTGAGAGAGTGCAGCCATCCTCCAGCTGTTTGCCCGCAAGTATCAGATGCTGCTGGTCAGGTGGGATGCCCTCCTTGTCTTGAATTTTGGCGTTGACATTCTCAGTGGTGTCACTGGGCTCGATCTCAGAGGTCTTGCCTGTGAGGGTCTTCACAAAGGTCTGCATCTCTGCGTCTGGAGCTTGGCAGCCTCACTGAAGAAAAAGAGCGAATTTTCTTTCTTTCTTTTTCATTGATTTTTTTGAGGCAGAGCCTCACTCTGTTGCCCAGGCTGGAGTGCAGTGGCGCGATCTTGGCTCACCACAACCTCCGCCTCCTGATTAAGGCAATTCTCCTGCCTCAGCCTCCTGAGTAGCTGGGATTACAGGCACCCGCCATCACGCCTAGCTAATTTTTGTATTTTTAGTAGAGAAGGGGTTTCACCATGTTAGGCTGGTCTCGAACTCCTGACCTTGTGATCCGCCCGCCTCGGCCTCCCAAAGTGCTGGGATTATAGGTGTGAGCCACTGCACTCGGCATTTTTTTTTCTTTAAAAAAAGTTTTATTGCCTTTTTCCACACATTCTGAAGCGGAATTTTTTTTTTAAGGGATAAAGAAAGGCCGTGCTTTCCAATTCTAGATTCTATTGCTTTTGTTTCTAGGTTAAGGCATTATTTGTATTGATTTTTGTGTAAATTTTATATGGGAATTAGTCTAAATGGACTAGTTTTCTTCCTCGTAGGGAATTAAGGAGACACTATGGCACTGATTTTGAGCTCTGTGGATGTACCGCCCAGCGATCAACCTAATATATGCACACAATTGAGCTGACATCTGCCGTCTCATTAACTAAGAGAAATCCCTAACCTTTGCTTGCTTAGGGCTTCACAACATAGGACCTCCGCCTCTTGCAAGGAAACTTTGGCAGTAATTGTTCTAAGAACAAGGGAAACAGCTGTGTTTTGTTGTTCTTTTCTGTTCTCTACTAATTGGGGGTTAATGCTTAAGCTGAAAGATACATCACTTGTTAAGGAAGCATTTGCATGAGCAGTTAACTTGATGGGATTTAATTGTGTTCATTTCTAGTCTCCCCAGTCTGCAAATTAACAGTGCTCTTGGCCTTTCTGGTGCCTCTCTCTAGCCTTCATTACTGTCCTCCTCTCTCCGCTTTCTTGCACGTCACTGTTGTGCTTCCTCCTCTTTGCCTTGATCGTTGAAGGTAGTGGCAGCTGGATTCGTGGCAGGGGTTGAGTCATCTCTGGTTCCTTCTAGCTTAGGGAGTCTGTTTTGGTGGCTCAGAGAAGGATCTGTTGCCAGTCAGCCGATGCCAGGTCTCTGGTGCTGGGGATGGTTACTGGGCAGGAGAAACACCAGTCAGAGAACCCTGGACTTTCAGAACTGTGCATCAGGTGTCCCAGCAATCTAGTTGGCAGGACTGTCGGGTGGAAAGTGGGCTCATGGGGTTCGCCCCTTTCTGTGGGCTTTGCACGTGATCTCAGTGGACCCTGCCTGTCTGCATGGCATTCTCATTTCTTGGTAAGCTGTGTTTTGTTTTGTTTTTTTTTAAATTTCTTCTCTACGTGAGGACCCTTGCCTTTTGTTATTAGCTCTGACCCATATCTGTTTTTTGTGACAGTAGTTACTGTCTTTTCACATTCTGTAGGGGACCTGTCACAGTATGTAACATTGAACAAAATAGACAGTCCCAAGGTGCCCATCAAGATACAAACATTTTCTGTTCACAATTTCTGCTGAAATTCATTCACCTCTTTTCATGATTTTTGGATAAGATTTATAATAGGACTTATTTCTTAAATAATTAGAACATTTTCTTATAGTGGTTGGTATGCTTACGTGGTAACTGTGGTAAGAAAATGGCTTTCTGGTAGTAAATGACTCCTTTTCATTTATCCACTCAGCACTCAACAAACATTTCAGTCCTGTTTTCCTGGTTCTGGGTTCGATGCTAAGGAGACAAACAATACATCGTGTACATGCAGTGCTCATGTAGTGTCTGGTGGGTTTACCAGCGCACGTATATATATCAGCTCTTTTTTTCCTTTCTGAGATGGAGTCTTGCTCTGTTGCCCAGGCTGGAGTGCAGTGGTACGATCTTGGCTCACTGCAGCCTCCGCCTCCTAGGTTCAAGCAGTTCTCCTGTCTCAGGCTCCCAAGTAGCTGGGATTACAGGCATGTGTCACCACGCCCAGCTAATTTTTTTTGGTTGTTTTTTTAGATGGAGTCTCCCACTGTCAGCCAGGCTGGAGTGCAATGACCTGATCTTGGCTCACTGCAGCCTCCGCCTCCTGGGTTCAAGCGATTCTCCTGTCTCAGCCTCCCAAGTAGCTAGGATTACAGGTGCCCACTACCATGCCTGGCTAATTTTTTTTTATTTTAGTAGAGACGGGGTTTCACCATATTGCCCAGGCTGGTCTCGAAGTCCTGAACTCAGGCAGTCCACCCACTTCAGCCTCCCAAAGTACTAGGATTATAGGCATGAGCCACTGTGCCCGGCCTTTTTTGTATTTTTAATAGAGACGGAGTTTCACTATGTTGGCCAGGCTGGTCTCAAACTCCTGACCTCAAGTGATCTGCCCACCTCAACTTCCCAAAGTGCTAGGATTACAGGCGTGAGCCACCTTGCCCGGCCATATCACCTCTTCTTAAGTACCTTTTATTCCTTGACTTTTAGTATAACTGACTGTAGCTCTCCTGCTTACCAGCCATATTATGCCAGGCAAGTTATCTAACCTCTCTGTGACCCAGTTGCCTTATCTATAACATAAGGAAAATTATTGAATCTACTTTAAAGAATTGTCAGGAGGATTAAATGAGGAAAACACTTAGAATAGTGCCTGGCACTGGGTAAGCACTCAGTAAATGTTAACTGTCATCATCATGTTATTGTTACAGGAGTTGCAGTATTCTGGAAAAATCACTCAAACTCATTTAAATATATGTATGTATGTATGTATATGTGTATGTGTGTGTGTATATATATATTATTATTGTTATTATTATTTTTTTGAGATGGAGTCTCGCTCTGTCGCCAAGGCTGGAATGCAGTGGCGCGATCTCAGCTCACTGCAGGCTCCGCCTCCTGGGTTCATGCCATTCTCCTGCCTCAGCCTCCCAAGTAGCTGGGACTACAGGTGCCCGCCACCACACCTGGCTAATTTTTTGTATTTTTAGTAGAGATGGGGTTTCACCATGTCAGCCAGGATGGTCTCGATCTCCTGACCTCGTGATCCGCCCGCCTCAGCCTCCCGAAGTGCTGGGATTACAGGCGTGAGCCACCGTGCCCAGCCTAAATATAATTTAATTTTAAGAAAGGAGTTTACTAATCCAGCTCTCAAAACCATACCATTGACAGGGCACAGTGGCTCACGCCTGTATTCCCAGCACTTTGGGAGGCTGAGGTGGGCAGAGGTCCAGAGGTCAAGACCAGCCTGGCCAACATGGTAAAACCCCATCCCTAATGACAATTTAAAAAAACTCGCTGGGCCTAGTGGTGGGCGCCTATAGTCCCAGCTACTTGGGAGGCTGAGGTGGGAGGACTGCTTGAACCTGGGAGGCGGAGGTTGCGGTGAGTCAAGATCACGCCACTGCACTCCAGCCTGGGCGAAAGAACAAGACTCCATCTCAGACAGACAAACAAACAAAACCCTGTCATCAGAGTCATAGTTTGTGAGTAACAGCCTCCACCTTAACATACGCTTGCTTTCTCAATATCAAAATGTTTTTGAGGCCGGGCACAGTGGTTTGTGCCTATAACCCCAGCACTTTCGGAGACTGAGGCGGATGGATCACTTGAGGTCGGGAGTTCGAGACCAGCCTGGCCAACATGGCAAAACTCCATCTCTACTTTATGCAAAAATTAGCCGGTGTGGTGGCAGCTGCCCGTCATCCCAGCTACTCCAGAGACTGAGGCAAGAGGATTGCTTGAACCGGGGAGGAAGAGGTTGCAGTGAGCCGAGATCACACCATTGCACTGCAGCCTGGGCGATGAGAGCGAAACTCTGTCTCAAAAAAAAAAAAAAAAATGTTTCTGAACAATATAAAGCCCTATAGACTGATTACAGAAGAAGGGTAGCATTTCTTACAGATGTAGTCTATACATGTTGTTTTCCTTATAAATAAAAGACATGATTTGACTTTAGAAAAGTCATTACTCAAACGTGATTTAACATCTGTGATGGCCGAGGAGCTGTGCTCTGTACTAGGAATTTACATTGAACAAAAGCTCTTATGGAGCTAAATGGTCTGTTGGGAAGGACAGATGCTAAACAGTAGTAACAATAAAACGGGATGTGTTCTGTCTTTGGGAAGGTACAGTGTCACCATGTCAGTTATATGGGGCTTTATCTCCTATCTCTTCACTCAGTGTGGGAATATTTAGAGCTGCCCACAGGCCTTCACTTGCTGGTGTATAGTTTCTGGGGCCGTACACCAGGTAGTTTTGCTCCTGTTTCATGCTCAGTGTGGTTCTATGAGGGAGCCTGATCTGGACGCTCGCAGGCCAGGCTTTCCTTAGACCTCACATCAACTTGAAGGTAATTTGAGTCTGCCATCTGCTCTCTGCAAACTTTAACTTACAAAAAGCAGACCTGTCTTTACTAACCCAGAGGACATTTGCCATATGGCAGGTTAGGCAAGAGATGGTGGCTCTGGTTAAGGAGATTTGAAAAGGATTTTCTGATCAGAAGGAAACTAAGCAACCTCTTTTGGCCGAAAATAATTGACCTTGGTAATGGTTACCAGGGAAGGCGTTTGGATTCAATGAGAATGCGTCATGGAGCATGGAGAGCTTCAGGGCTATCCTGTTTAAAATGTCTAAGCCAAATAAAATTTGGAAGTGGAGTTTGTTCAAATCCTCAAGGAAATTACCATTTGAATTTTTAGAAAGCCTTGAATATTACAGTGGAATCATTAGGCCAGGATCTAAGAAAATTGGCTGGGTCTTTCAGATATCTGGCTGAAGACAGTAAAGATTATAATAAAAATTGGACATAAATGGATATTTATGTTTTTGATGCCAAACTTCTGGCAGGCCACCATCATATGAATTGTTAAGTTATTATGACATTAGGATGTTTGAGAATGGCTGGCGACGATTTCTCTAGATAGCATGTATCTCTCTAGGTTTATGGTTTCAAACATGAGGTGTACTGAAATATATTTAGGTCACTCGTATAGCTACTGAAAGATACTTCTGATTTATAACATATACAACTTGGGTTTTTAGGCATTCTCATTTTATATGGAAAATGCTTTGAAGTTTAAACTTTTTAACCTTTTTTTTTCTCCTTAGGAAAATAAAGCAACCAACACAGACCATTTAACCACGGTACTCTACCTCCAGCTTGCTATTTTTTCAAGTCTGCAGAACTTGGAGAAAACAATTTTCTGCCTGCAGAAACTGATTTCTTTGCATCCTTTTAATCCTTGGAACTGGGGCAGATTGGCCGAGGCTTACCTGAATCTGGGGCCAGCTCTTTCAGCAGCACTTGCGTCATCTCAGAAACAGCAGAGTTTCACCTCAAGTGACAAAACTATCAAATCCTCCTTTCCACACACAGGAAAAGACTGTCTTTTGAGTTTTCCTGAAACCTTGCCTGAGAGCTCTTTATTTCCTGTGGAAGCCAATAGCAGTAATAGCCAGAAAAATGAGAAAGCTATTACAAATATCCAAAACTGTATGGCAGAAAAGAGAGAAACAGTGTTGACAGAGACTCAGCTGAAAGCATGTGCCTCTTTTATACGAACCAGGTAAGCTGAGAGTCGCTTAAGCAACGCTTGGCAATGAGCTCGGAGTAAAGGCTTTATGTTCTAATTTTAAGCTTCAAAAAGTTCCAGGCTAGACGTTTGGTATATATTTTTGAATTTTTCCTATGGTTGTGTTGAACGTTTGTCATTCTAATACATAATACTTGGAAACAAAACTATATTTGTTTAAGAATACAACCTATGGTGGCTGGGTGTGGTAGCACATGCCTGTAATCCCAGCATTTTGGGAGGCTGAGGCAGGTGGATCATTTGAGCTCAGGAATTTGAGACCAGCCTGAGCAACATGGTGAAATCCCATTTCTACAAAAAAATTTTTTTTAAAAGTTAACTATGTGGGCTAGGCGCAGTGGCTCACGACTGTAATCCCAGCACTTTGGGAGGGCGAGGTGGGCAGATCACAAGGTCAGGAGATCGAGACCAGCCTGGCCAACATGGTGAAACTCTGTCTCTACTAAAATACAAAAAATTAGTTGGGTGTGGTGGCGTGTGCCTGTAATCCCAGCTACTCAGGAGGCTGAGGCAGGGGAATCGCTGAACCCTCGAGGCGGAGGTTGCAGTGAACTGAGATTGCACCACTGCATTCCAACCTGGCGAAAGGGCAAGACTCTGTCTCAAAAAAAAAAAAAAAAAAAAGTAACCAGGCATGGTGGTGCATGCCTGTAGTCCTAGTTACTCGGGAGGCTGAGATGGAAAGATTGCTTGAGCCTGGGAGGCCAAGGCTGCAGTGAGCTGAGATCACACCACAGCACTCCAGCCTGGGCAACAGAGTGAGACTCTGTCTCAGAAACAAAAAGCAATATAACCTGTGTCATTGCCCAAGATGGAATGTTAAGATTAGAAAACATTAAAAATTAGGAAAATAAAAATGTATAAAACACTGAAAAAGGGAGAGGAGATATTTTAAAGAAGGAATTTTCTGTTTATATGTTCCACAGAAATCTAAAGAAGAAAATCAGCTCTTGTGTTTGCATTGCTGATAATGGGAGTAGATGATGCTTAATTCATTCGCTAGAGAATTCCCATGGTTTGTGCCTAGGGTTACCAAGTACTTTTCATCCTTAAAGTATAAGAGTTTGAGGGAAGGGTGGGGAGAATACACTTGACCAGTTCTATAAATGATGAGAGAAGAAGCAGATTCTCTCATGTTTCAAATGGTACCAAAGAATGTACAGATTTTTCAACTCAGGAGGATTCAAGAAGTATTAATAGGCTTACTGAGAAGTGGTATCTATTTGGCAAATTTTATTTTATTATTATTTTTTTGAGATGGAGTTTTGCTCTTATTGCCCAGGCTGGAGTGCAGTGGCGCGATCTCAGCTCACTGCAACCTCTGTCTCCAGGTTCAAGCAGCTCTCCTGCCTCAGCCTCCTGAGTAGCTGGGATTACAGCTGTGTACCACCACACCTGGCTAATTTTTGTATTTTTAGTAGAGACGGGGTTTCACTGTGTTGGCCAGGCTGGTCTCGAACTCCTGACCTCAGGTGATCCACCTGCCTCGGCTTCCCAAAGTGCTGGGATTACAGGAGTGAATCACCGTTTCCAACCCTATTTGGCAAATTTTAAAATGTATTCAGTGGATGCTTGTTTAGCATTGACCGTGTAACTAATTCAGAGGCACATTGAATGACAACTGTGTGCCAGATATGTGCTTGGTGCCAGGATCACAAAGATCATTTAAAAAGCAGTCTCTTTCCTTATGCCACTCACTGACTTAGGGAAATGGTATGTCTAGCCAGTAGCTGCCAACACGGGTGCTAAATAGTGTATCAGTGCTGTGAGCAGAATTCTGGGGGGACCAATGTCAGGGAGCTCTTGGCGTGGCCAAAAGAAGGAAGCCTTTACAGAGGGGTGATGCCTCTGCTGAATGAGCCCGGTAGGAACCCTTGTCAGTGGACCACTGAGTGCTAGATGCTGTGTATACATTATTTCATTTTAATCCTCATGACTCTGGGGTACCTATTGGGATCCCACTTGATGGACCAGGAAACTATTAAAATCATTCCCAAAGTAGTGCAGCTGTGAATTGCAGGGCCAGGATTTGGAGCTGGTCTCCGATTCCCGACCCTGTATTCTTCCAGCTTATCTTGCTCGCTCCGCGTTAATATTCCCCATGTGGAAAGAGGCGTGCTAGGTAGGTAAAAAGAAAGCAAGCACCACCCGGAGGGGCAGAGGATCCGTTCTAGAACAGGTTTGTCACATTGTCTGGGGTAAGAGCAGTACTAGTGGTAAGGGCTCGAGGTAGGCTGTGGCCACAGTGCCAGGGTGGCAGAGGAAGTAGGAAGTAGGACTTTGGCGTCAGAACTGGTTTTGAAGAACTTAGTAAATTGCTGATGCTAAGTGGATGAGCCTGGACTCTTGCCAGCGGTCTGACCTTGCACACATTCCTTAAACTCTGCTCTCTAGTTGCTTAATCTTGACAGATGGAGAAATGGGGAAAATGCCTGCTTCCTGGGGTTGTAGAATTAAAGTATTTAAAGTACTTATTGTCCTGCATTGTATGTAGTAGGCGCTTGGTAAACATTAGATTGGTACTTTTATTTTTGTTGTTTTTATTGTTAGCACAAGATGTTCGATGTCACAAGGGTTTGGTCCTTGTGCTGAAGGCCTGAAGAGTATTTGCACTTTTTAAATATAGGAGCATGTGATAAGACCTGTGTGTGTGTGTGTGTGTGTGTGTGTGTGTGTGTGTGTGTTTGGTATTTTTTTTTTTTTTGAGACGGCAGTTTCACTCGTTGCCCAGGCTGGAGTACAGTGGCGCGATCTCGGCTCACCGCAACCTCTGCCTCTTGGGTTCAGGTGATTCTCCTGCCTCAGCCTCCCGAGTAGCTGGGATTACAGGCATGCACCACCACGCCCGGCTAATTTTGTGTTTTTAGTGGAGATGGGATTTCTCCACATTGGTCAGGCTGGTCTCAAACTCCTGACCTCAGGTGATCCGCCGGCCTCGGCCTCCCAAAGTGCTGGGATTACATGTGTGAGCCACCGCGCCTGGCCAAAACCTGTGATTTAGAGAGCTCTGGTGACTGTGATGCTGGATTAGAAGGAGGAGCTAAGGACTAGAGGTTGTGGACTAATTAGTGGAAGATGATGAGGGCCTGACCTAGGCTGGTGCAGTGGTAATAAAAAAAAGAAATGGATATCACTGCATGATAGAATAGACAGGACGTGGTGACCAGCGGAGTGTGTGGGAAGGATGAGGGTGGGAGAATGGAAGAGTCTCTGCAGTCTCTCGTGGATGCACAGGTGGATGGTGGTGCCTTTCGCTGAGATAGGACACCTGGGAAGATGAGCAGAGCCGAACTGGGGTGGAAGGCAATGATTTTAGGCTTGAAGTACCGAGACTCAGGTGCCTGGAGGATATCCAGAGGGCGGAAAGCAAGTTACATCAAAGGGATCACAAAGGTGAATGCTTCCCGAGGCCGGGTAGGTGATGTCAGCGGGTCAGACTGAAGCAGACAGATGATCATTTCACCTGTGAGTCAGGTCAGGCTCCTTTCTGAAACGCCCCGGTGGCTTCCCATTGCACTTACATCAGTTCCACGTTTCTTGCCACGGCCTGCAAGGTCTGATTTGAATTGGCCCTGCCTTTTTTTCCCCACCTCATTTCCTACACATTTTTCTCTCTGACTGTGTTCCAGCCACAGTGATCTTAATGATTTTCAAGCATGTCAAGTTTGTTCCTGTGTCAGAGCCCCCTTCTCCCTGGCCAAGCCCTCGCCCCCAGATGTTCTCCCACTGGTTCCTTGTCAGGTAGCTCGTAGCTTGCCTGGTATCTCAGGAAAGCCTTCCTGCCTCCACCGCCACATCTGAAGAGGACACTGTGTCCACCCTGTCTTGGGTTTTTTGCCTAGCACTTGTCACTACCTGAAATGCTTATGTGCTGTCTCCCTCCTTCCATTCCATGAGGCCTCAAATGTGTTTTGCTCATCAGTATCTCTCAATGCCTAGCATAGTGTCGGGCACGTTCCGCAGTATGGAGAGCCGAGTGCTTCTGGGCATTGCAGTAGGTACCAGTGAGAAAATGGGGAAGATCTGCATATTATTTATTAAAAAAAAACAAAAAACAAAAAAAACAGAAGGAGCCAAATGAGGAAGACAGGAGGAAGTTAAATGAGAGAGGAGAGCAGCTATGATCATGACGGGGAAGTCAGTGGTAAGGTATCGCAGAGTGGTTGTCAGAGGGTCATCAAAGATTTGGCCCTGCTTGGGGTAACTGAAGTGTGCTAGCGAATCTAATTAGTCCTTGCGGTCAAGTTGCTGTGGGGTCAGCGAGATGGAAGGGTCACAGAACACTGACTTCAAAGGAGCAAATCCGGAGGGCCTGTGTGAGAGGAGTCTGATTGGGAGGCTCGTTCCTTTCACTCCAAATTACTCATCCTTTCAATCCCTTGACTTCCACAGGAGGCTCTTTTGAGGCCGGAAGCTCTTTTCACGTGTTGCCCTCTAAAGATTTCTTTGAGCAGTGTTAGTCTTTATCTTTTAGAAAAGATGAATCTCCAATGTAAAGTTGGGCAATTGATTCCGAGTCGGAAGCTTTAGGGATTGAAATGATAGTTCTAGTGAGGGTGGGTACCTGCTTTTTAACCTGGTGGGACTCGCAGCCGACTCAATACCTGGGCTCTCTGAACGTTTCCTCACGGCTTTCCTTTATCTGGAAGCGCTGGGACTTTTCGCCACGCATTGGGACTTTTCGGTTTTTCAGGCTTCTGCTTCAGTTTACCCAACCTCAGCAAACATCGTTTGCTTTGGAGAGGAACTTAAGGACTCAGCAGGAAATTGAAGATAAAATGAAAGGGTTCAGCTTCAAAGAAGACACTTTGCTGTTGATAGCTGAGGTGAGTGTATCCCTCGGGTTTATGTGAAACGAGGCATCATAGATATTTTCCCTGGTTCTGATAGCATTTTTTAAAAAGCAGGGCGAAAACTCATCTACTGAAGGACTTGTCTCCCTCCTTTGTGTGCCTTTTGATCACTCAGCAATCACCAAGGCGGCCTCTTGATCGGCATTCCCCTGCAGCGTGTGGGACGGCAGGGGCTGTGTTTCATGCACTTGTCAGCGCTTGTTAGCACCTGCCTGTCTGAACATCATCAATGCCCAATAATTGTTTCAGTGCTGAATAAACGAATGAATGAATGCTTACATTTGTGCAGCAGTTCTATTTTTTTTCCTCCATTCATCATAACAGCTTGTGAAGATGAGTAGAGCTAGAACTGAGGCTCAGAGAGCTTGTGACTTTCCTTCTGGTCAGATTTTCAGAGGCAGAGCAGGTCTGGAGCTTGTGTGTGCCAGCTGCAAGTCCATTTTATCTCTGCTCCACCCTGTTACTACTTTGATGGTTGCATAGAAATTCAAAGGTCAGTTTTTTTAAACTAACATTTAAACCTTCCTTGGCTTTTTTTTTTTTTGAGTCAGAGTCTTGCTCTGTCACCCAGGCTGGAATGCAGTGGCACGATCTCAGCTCACTGCAACCTGTACCTCTTGGGTTCAAGTGATTCTCATGTTTCAGCCTCCCAAGTAGCTGGGGTCACAGGTGTGCGCCACCATGCCCTGCTAATTTTTGTATTTTTAGTAGAGACAGGGTTCACCATGTTGGCCAGTCCGTCTTGAACTCCTGGCCTCAAGCAGTCTACCCACCTCAGCCTCCCAAAGTGCTGGGATTACAGGCCTGGGCCACCATGCCACATCTCTTCCTTTTACTTCTGAGAGGCTATGCTAGTCTGTTTTTCTCCTGTGTTTCTTAACGTTCCTCTGCCTCTTGGGACTCAGCTGGTTTCTTCTGTAGCTTAAGTAATGGCATACTAAGGATTCCCTTGGCCTCTCTGTTTTCTACTTTTCTCTCACAGAAATCATCACCACACCCCTAGGTTCCATTGTCACCTCTGGGTTGATTACTCTCCAGTCTTTATCTCTAGTCTCATCTCTGGGACATGTGTCTCACGTCAGATTAATTGCCTATAGGTGGTTAACTTGGGATAATTATTGATTACTCTTCTGTCACTTCAAGTGCAAAATGTCTAAAATGGAACTACTCATCAAAACACTTCCTGTAATCCCATCACTTTGGGAGGCCAAGGTGGGTGGATCACTTGGTCAACATGGTGAAACCCCATCTCTAATAAAAATACAAAAAACTAGCCAGGTGTGGTGGCAGGCACCTGTAATCCCAGCTACTCAGGAGGCTGAGGTGGAAGAATCGCTTGAACCCGGGAGGTGGAGGTTGCAGTGAACTGAGATTGTGCCACTGCACTACAGCCTGGGCAACAGAAGGAGACTCTGCCTCAAAAAACAAAACACAAGAAAAACACTTCTGGTCAGTCTTTTACTTCCCCCAACTTCTACATCCTCCAGGAAGCTTTTCTGGAATACTCTGTTCTGTTGTAATTTCTCCTTCCTCTGAGCTCAGATAGTGATTACTTGAATAGCTAGCTCTTTGGCCCCTAAAAAGACATGAGAATGTGTCTTATGTTTTCATCTAGGTGTTAGGTTCCTTATATGTAATAGTATGTTTTGAGCATCTTTGTATTCTTCACCATGCTCGATAAATCTGTTGGTTGGGTGGAAGAGTAGTTTCCTATGTGGACAATGCATGTGATATACCAGTGGAGCTTTTTAAAAAGATAGAAAATGTCTGGGCCCTCGTTAGGATTGTAATTAGGATTATAATGTACATTTTGTTTTGTGCTTGCTTTTATTTTTTTAAAGATAAGGTCTCATTCTGTCACTCAGGCTGGGCTGCAGTGCATAATCTTAGCTCACTGCAGCCTGAAATTCCTGGGCTCAAGTGGTCCTATCATCTCAGCCTCCCAAGTTCATAGGATTACAGGCACCCACCACCATGTCCAGCTAGTTTTAAAATTTTTTGTAGTGGCAGGGTCTCACTATGTTGCCCAGTCTGGTCCCAAACTCCTGGCCTCAAATGATCATCCCACCTTGGCCTCCCTAAGTGCTAGAATTACAGGTGTGAGCCACCATGCGGCCTTTATTTTGTGCTTTTAATTTTAGTTGACTTGTGATAACATAACCCCATATCCTTAAATTTTCTTTGATCATATGCTTTTTTTTTTCCTGTTTATAATTCTTGTATTTGAATTAGGATCCAAACAAGGTCTAAATATTGTATGTGGTGCTTTTGTCTCATATGTGTTTTTCATTCTATAACAACTGCTCTTCTCCCTCTTTTTTACTCTGATAAAATACGTAACTTAAATTTGCCATCTTAATCATTTTTAAATGTACAATTCAATGGAATGAAGTACATATACAGTGTTGTGCCACTTTGACCACTATTTCCAAAAATTTTCATCACCCCAAACAAACTCTACCCATTAAGCAATAACTCCCTATTCCCTTCTCTCTCTACCTGCTAGAACCTCTAATCTACTATTTTGCTCTATGAATTTATCTATTCTAGATATTTCAAATAAGTGGAATCATACCATATGTGTCCGTTTGTATCTGCTTTATTTCACTTAGCATAATGTTTTCAAGGTTTATCCATATTATAGCATTTATCAAAACTTCATACCTTCTTATGGCTAAATAATATTCATATGTATGTACATATCTCATTTTATTTATCCACTCATCTGTTGATGGATACTTGAGTTGTTTCTACCTTTTGGATATTGTGAATAATGCTGCTGTGAACATTAGCATATAAGTATGTTTGAGTCTCTGTTTTTTGTTTGTTTGTTTTGTTTGAGACGGAGTCTTGCTCTGTCACCCAGGCAGGAGTGCAGTGGCACTATCTCGGCTCACTGCAGCCTCCGCTTCCCAGGTTCAAGCAATTCTCCTATCTCAACCTTCCAAGTAGCTGGGGCTACAGGCGTGTGCCACCATGCCCAGCTAACTTTTATGTTTTTAGTAGAGACAGGCTTTCACCATATTGGCCAGGCTGGTCTCGAACTCCTGATCTCAAGTGGTCTGCCTGCCTCGGCCTCCCAAAGTGCTGGGATTACAGGCGTGAGCCACTGCACCCAGCTAAGTCTCTGTTTTTAATTATTTTGGGTATATACCTAGGAAGGTAATTACTGGGTCATATATTAGCTTTAACTTTTTTAGGAACTGCCAAACTGTACATTTTATTTTCTATTTTGTGATATTTACCTAACATTGTGACGTGGGTATGACCCTATATCCTAAATATTATATTTGAGTACATAATTTTTAATGACTGGATAGTAGTCAGTTTTTGGACAAACTATAATTTACTTAGTTCCCTGTGTTGAACATTTAACAAATACTCAGTACCTATTTTAATAAATCCTTGCAAGAAAATTAATGTGTGCATTTGTACCTTTTGGAACAGATTATTAGAAATGGAATCACTGGATTTAAATATATGAGTATTTTAAAGACGTAAAGCACATTTCCAAATTGTCATTTCCAAAAAGCACCTTTCCAAATTCTCATTTAGAAAGGTTAGTTCAATTTATGTATCCTCCAGCAATATGTGAAAGCACTGTTTTTTCTACGCTGATCCTGACTATTAGATTGGACCATGTGAAATCATTTTGGCCTCTTAAATCAGCTATTTTGCATAATTCAACTTAATATTACTTTAAAAATTGGTAGCTTGGTAGGTAAAAAATGTAATATTTTTAGCATTAATGTTTATTTATTTACTATTAAGTTGAACAATTCTTTCATATGTTTATCGACCATTTGTATCATGTCAAATGCCTCGTCTTGCTTTTGCTTCATTATTCTTTCTGTTTTTCGTAGCAATTTTAAGAGTTCTCTCTATATTACACTTAAGTATCTTTCTATATGTTACTATATTTTCTGAAGTTTATGATTCTTTTTTGGCATATGGAAGTTTAAAATGTTTATGTGGCTGACTGTTTTGGCAGATTTTTGGACACCTGTAAATATTGTGCCTGCCTATCCCTCTTTGGGAAATAGTGTGTTTGGGTCTTACTGTTATTCATTTATCTTTTTTTATTTTTAAGAAAGGCATTTTTGGTGTTTTATCCCAGATTTTAAAATACTACATTTCATTGAATCTAGAAAATCATCAGTTGTAAGACATATCATTTGGTGTGTCACTAAAAGAAAAATAAGATGTCAGCCGGGCACGGTGGCTCACACCTGTAATCCCAACACTTTGGGAGGCCGAAGCCGGTGGATCACGAGGTCAGGAGATCAAGACCATCTTGGCTAACACAGTGAAATCCTGTCTCTACTAAAAATACAAAAATTAGCCAGGCCTGGTGGCGCATGCCTGTAATCCCAGCTACTCGGGAGGCTGAGGCAGAACAGCTTGAACCCAGGAGGCAGAGGTTGCAGTGAGCCAAGATCACGCCACTGCACTCCAGCCTGGGCGACAGAGCGAGACTGTCTCAAAAAAAAAAAAAAAAGAAAAAGAAGATGCCATTTACAGTATCACATAAAGCCTCACTCTAGTGGTTATCAAATACATTTTTTTTTGTTTTGTTTTGGAGGTGGGGTCTTACTCTATCTCCCAGGCTGAAGTACAGTGGCATGTACTCCAGCCTGGAGTGACAGAGCGAGACTCTGACTCAAAAAAAATGATAATAATAATTTTTTTTTTTGTAGGGATGGGGATCTTGCTCTGTTGCCCTGGCCGCCCTCTCTAACTCCTGGCCTTTAGCGACCATCCTGCCCTCGGCCTTCCAAAGTGTTGGGGTACAGGTGTGAACCACCACACCTGGCTCAGCTACATCTTGATTTTAGAGATGTTAAAATACAAAAACAAAAAGGTATCTTAGAACTGGTGACATACCAGGCTTTAGTAAATACTGACTGTTGCCTAGTGAAACTTGGCTCTCATTGGCAATTTCCTCAAACAATATGTAACCTTTGAAGATTTAAACCCAGTCCTCAAAACCATTCTTTGAGCTTGCTTCTTAATTCATTATAGTTTGAGTTTTCATGAACACATTCCATATCTGAGTTTGCAGGAACCTTGGAGATTATCTAATGCAAATCTATATGGAACTTAAATTCCCTCCACAACATCCCTGCTCCATGGCTACCTACGTAAGCTTTCATGCCAGATAGTATGAAATGTTTTGGAACTTAATTTTAGTTCATTGTCATTACCCAAGGTCAGACTGCTTACTTAGTGGGTTCAGGTACAGGCTTTCTACAACCTAACTTGTGATGTCTTCTCAAAGAAACTAACCCAGAATCTTGGGACATGACCCTGTGTTCATCTGGGCCTGATTCTGACCAGTAGGGGGCAGTATTGTACCTTCATTGGTAACGGGCTCCTTAAATCCCTAAGATTGCTTTGGTTATAGAGGGATTAGAGTCCTTTTGGGTCAGGAAAAGGTGGGCCCAGCTACATGGCACAGTTGCATTCTCACCAACAGAATATGCTCTTTGAAACAAAGAGGGTAACTCAGTACTCCTGGTAAGCCAAATAATACTGCTGCCACAGCAGTACCGAAGTGATTCTTTCACTTGGGGAGAATGAGAGTAGAAATATGGGATATTTTACTTGTCCTTGGATAACTACTTCTGAGATCAGATGAGATTGGGCACATTCAGGGTGGTATGGCGGTAGACAGATAACTGCTTCCGAACAAACATCTTTTCAATGGGTTGGGAATGTCCCCTGGCTGCTATTTTCTGCCTTTGAGTGAAAGCCTTTACAGTTGATAACTAGCATTCCATGTCTGCTGCCTCTTATTGGAACAGTTTTCTTTTTTCCCCCCCCTCCTGTTACAGGTTATGGGAGAAGATATCCCAGAAAAAATAAAAGATGAAGTTCACCCAGAGGTGAAGTGTGTTGGCTCCGTAGCCCTGACTGCCTTGGTGACTGCATCCTCAGAAGAATTTGAAGACAAGTGGTTCAGAAAGATCAAAGACCATTTCTGTCCATTTGAAAATCAGTTCCATACAGAGATACAAATCTTAGCTTAGTGGGTTATAAAAAACAAAACCACAAACATCTTGTACTGTATTAGTTGTCCTTGTTTACTTCAGACAGGATCCATTGCTAATCATGGAGTATAAATGATTATTTATGTTTTATAAAACTGGCTTCTGTCTCAAATAATTTCTACTGCATTCAGTTTATGTTTTGTTTTCTTTTTGGATTTTTCCTATCCCATTATAAGTACTGTATCTTAGGCCTACTACCCCTTTGAAGGTAATCTGTTGGGGAAGTGTATCAAGGAGGCTTTTAGATTTGTGGTCTTTTAAAAACAGTTACTATATTATAGCCAGCACCATAAGAATCCACGTTGTTTAGGTAAATTCATTGGGAATGACCAAGAATGTTGAGATGTGAAACTAAGCTATTTCTAAGAAGGCTGTACCAAGCGCTGTGAAGGGTTGGAGATCTTACCCTGTGAAGCGTCTGAGATCTTACCCTACTTGTAAGCTAACAGGTTAGCCTCTCCCACTTTTCATGGATGCTGGCAGAAAGGAGACTCCTGGGTCAGAGACAAAGGATTTTATGACCCATGGCCCAGCAGGCAGTATAAACTTCAGTGTGTTTGCATCAGTTTCTCTTGCCTCCAAGTCCCAAGGGCACATAATGAGCACAGAAGGAATGCCTACGTTCACATACAATGAATGTGCATTACCATGTCTTGTGATGCACACATGACTGGTTGCCTTCAGGAGAGGAGTGCTGAGTTTGGGAAACTCTAATCTTTGATAATGGGCAGTGAGCATGCTTGCCCTTTGCTCCAGAGGTAGACGCTGTCTCCTTTTTAAGGCTGTTCGCCCTGCAAACATCTTGGAGAAGATAGACTGGAACAATGAGCACTGAGTGCCTCTTTCACACGTCGCACAGAAACACGAGAGCTGTGGAGCTTTGTCTGCTAGGTTGATCATCCTGTCCTTTTTCAGCCACATGAATTTTAATCGCAGCCTGTAACATCATCTTAAATACAAAGGGCCATTACCTTACTCAGTGAATTAGCTGGGATGGAAGAGCTCCCTGATGAGGAATTTAATAATCAATCAAAAACTTCAGCAAATGTTGTCCTGCACAGCTTTTTCTTTTGTTTTGTTTTTGAGACAGAGTCTTGCTCTTGCCCAGGCTGGAGTGCAGTGCCGTGATCTCGGCTGGCTGCAATCTCTGCCTCCCGGGTTCAAGCGATCCTCCTGCCTCAGCCTCCCAAGTAGCTGGGATTAGAGGCACGCACCAACATGCCTGGCTCATTTTTGTCTTTTTGTCCTGCACAGCTTTTATTTGATCTTTCTCAGCAGAGGAAGAGAATTCCAGCCGTGGGCTAAAAGGTGTAGTCATCAGGGTTTCCCTTCCACACTCCTCCCTCTCGCTCGCCCTTTCTAGTACCCTCCTCAAAACAGGCAAGGAACTGCTCTTACATTTTGAACAACTCTTTTTCTTTTTCTTTTTTTTTCCTTTTGAGATGTAGTCTCACTCTGTTGCCCAGGCTGGAGTGCAGTGGCGCGATCTCGGCTCACTGCTGCAGCCTCTGCCTCCCAGATTCAAGCAATTCTCCAGCCTCGGCCTCCTGAGTAGCTGGGATTACAGGCGTGCACCACCATGCCTGGCTAATTCATGTATTTTTAGTAGAGATGGGGTTTCACCATGTTGGCCAGGCTGGTCTCGAACTCCTGACCTCATGATCCGCCTGCCTTGGTTTTCCAAAGTGCTGGGATTACAGGCGTGAGCCACTGCGTCCGGCCAAACAATTCTTTTAGTGACTTCAATAGCATGACCAGCAATTGCACGTTTAGTCTTTAATCTCTAATGTGAAGCCAAAGACTTTGTATAATTGGTAGACATTTCAATTTTAGGAATTAAAAATTGTGCACATCCTTCCACAGCACCTCATTGCTGTCCCTCTATGCATTTGGTCTTTACCTATCACGTACTGAGCTATGATGTGTCAAGCGTTGTGTGGTTGCTGGGGAGACACTGGTTATCGAGTTTGTTGTCTAGTTGTGGACTGCCCTCGGGATGGGGCATAAAGTCTAGCATGGCTTGCCAAGCCCTTCATGGTGTAGCTCTGGCTACCTAGAGCCCCATCCTTCACTGCTCCTCGCCTTTAAATGGACTGTGACCTTCACCTCAACCCCTCCCCCCACCATCCAATGGCTAATTCACATTCATTTTTCAGGTCTGGTTTACCTGCGGCTTCCTGGAAGTCTTCCTGACCTGCCAGTGGTGGGAGGTTTCCCACTTCTGTGCTCCCTTACTGCTCATTCACTCCTATACTGACCCTTATTCCTGTGTTTTCTATTCCATGTTTGCCTGATGGTTTGCCACGATAGACTAAATTTTTTAAAGTCAGGGACTATGACTGTTTTGTTTATATTTGTATCCCCAAGGCACAATAATCTGGCATCTCACTAAATATTTGTTGGAAGAATTGCTGAATGAATTGGCCAGCATCTTAATTTGTGCAAAAGGTTAATACCCTGCAGATGTGATACTGTGCTGAGGCAGTCCTAGCACCCTGCCTGTTTCTGTCTGTAGCTAAACCTCTTCCTTCTGTCCATCTGACCTCCCTAGAAAGGCCCCATTTTTTCCCCTAACCCCTCTAGGCTTCTGGTCTCTATCCTAGCCCACTTGCCAACCTGGCCCGTGCTTTGAGCGTTTCATCTTCTGGCTCTCCTCCCAGACCTGCTGTCTGCGCCATCCTGAATGCCGAAGTGGTCTTCACAGATCCTGCTCACACCTCACTTCCGCCCCACCTCGCCTTCCTGGCAGCAATGTGTTGACGCTGTTGATGCAAGTGAGAACTTGGCCTCCTGAACTCTGATGCCTCTGCTGTAATAAAGGGTGAGAAAGGACACCGAGGAATACTGGGCATCTCTGGGTGTCATCACACAAAGTCATCACGATCATTTCCAGCACAGATGGTGAAGGTAATTGAGCAATGATTACACTAAAGAAAAACCTTCAGGCCTGCCAATTCCGACATCACTACCCGCAACAGTGAGTGAGTCACTTAGAAGGTGAGCAAATGTGTGCCACAGATGTGACTGTACTCCAGGTGCATGGGGTGGGACCTAAGGGAAATGTCTTGCCTCTTCCACTCTCAAAAGGCCTGTCTTCAACATTTGCTCCTCAAGAGGAATCTATGCTGGGTGTCTGAGCTGAGCTGATAAGAGTCTTCTTTTTTTTGAGATGGAGTCTTGCTCTGTCACCCAGGCTGGAGTGCAATGGCATGATCTTGGCTCCCTACAACCTGCCCCTCCCGGGTTCAAGCGATTCTCGTGCCTCAGCCTCCCAAGTAGCTGGGATTACAGGCTTGCGCCACCCCACCCAGCTAATTTTTGTGTTTGTAGTAGAGATGGAGTTTTACCATGTTGGCCAGGCTGGTCTTGAACTCCTGGACTCAGGTGATCTGCCCGCCCCAGTCTCCCAAAGTGCTGGGATTACAGGTGTGAGCCACTGCGCCCAGCCATCTTTTGTCCTTTATATTCTCACACCCCTACCATCTTCACACTGGAGCCAGAGGGATCTTAGAAAGGTCATTCTCACAGTCCTGGCTGGGCACAGAGGCTCATGCCTGTAATCCCAGCACTTTGGGAGGCCGAGGCGGGTGGATCACGAGGTCAGGAGTTCAAGATCAGCTAGCCAAGATGGTGAAACCCCGTCTCTACTAAAAACACAAAAATTAGCTGGGCGTGGTAGCAGGTGCCTGTGATCCCAGTTACTCGGGAAGCTGAGGCAGAGAATTACTTGAACCTGGGAGGTGGAGGTTGCAGTGAGCCAAGATCGCGCCACTGCACTCCAGCCTGAGCGACAGGGTGAGACTCCATCTCATAAAAACAAACAGCACATCATTCTCATAGTCCTTCATGAGGCCTGCGAGGCCCCACATGGCCTGGTCCTGACCCACTCCAGCCCAGCTCGCTCTGCTCCCCTTGGTACTGTACTCACCCTGGTTTCCTCTCTTGTTCTTGGACTCCTCAAGCTTGCCCTTGCTCAAGCCTTTGCCCATCCAGTCACCTCCACTTTGAACATTCTCCCCTGCAATCCCCCAGCCCAGCCTTAAATGTCCCCTTCCCATGGATCTCCACCCAAAGGTCACTGTCGACAAGATGTTTCCGCCCGATCCCCAGACTGGCTCACGTTCCCCTTCCAGTGTCATCATATGCCTGGTGCTTTTTTTTTTTTTTTTTAAACAAAGGGCTTATTGGAATTGTAATTAATTTATTGTATAATTCCTCCTGGCCAGATCACAAGCTCTAGGGTGCTGTCTCCGGTTTGCCTTCTGTGGTGGAGCTCAGCTCCGTGGACATGTGGTGGCTTCTGCCATTGCTGCCTTCCTGGAGCTCAGGCCCTTGCAGAGGCAGTCTGAGGCATGGCAAGCCACAAGCACACAGCCCGTCCCACCAGCCCCACTACCAGTGCCAGAGGTGGCCCTGTCCCCTACACAGTACCATGTTTCCAAAAAATGTGCTTCCTTTTAGGAAAACCTTGGGTAAAAAATCTTTGTTGCCCAGGCTGGAGTGCAGCGGCGCAATCTCGGCTCACTGCAAGCTCTGCCTCCCAGGGTCATGCCGTTCTCCTGCCTCAGCCTCCTGAGTAGCTGGGACTACAGGCGCCCGCCACCACGCCCGGCTAATTTTTTTGTATTTTTAGTAGAGACGGGGTTTCACCGTGTTAGCCAGGATGGTCTCGATCTCCTGACCTCGTGATCCTCCCACCTCAGCCTCCCAAAGTGCTGGAATTACAGGTGTGAGCCACCGCACCCGGCCTAAAAGATGGTTTTAAAGGGCAGCTTTATAGTGCTTTTGAACTTGAATCTAGGTAATCTGTCTACACCCTGCTTTCCAGGGGCTTCATCAAAACAACAAAACAATGAGCAAGCAAACAGAGAGGGATGTGCAGAAGAGCCCAGAACTCTGCCAGTGTGGCTGCACACGCAGTGAGGTCGGACTTGGTCATCCACGCACGCTCGCTTTCTCCGTGCCTGGCCCTGTGCTGTAGGGTCAGAAGCTGAGGAGAATTCCCCCCCGCCCCCCAACCTGCAGAAGAACAGTCCGAAGAGTGACAGCTCCAGTTCCGTGTTCCCAGTCACAATGTGTCCATCGGGAGACTTTGCTAGAGAAGTTGGGAGAG